GGTTCCATTTCATTCAGCCTACAGGGTGACTTCTTTGAGAATGACTCCCAACTGCCTTTTCAGGAAACTTGAAAAGGAATAAAAATATAAGCCCATCTGAAATTCAATATGTTGAAGAGGAGGAGGATGAGGAAGTAAATATTTAAAAAGCAAAGGGGAATTCCAAAATTCCATCATGACATAGATTATTTCAGAAGAAACAACAACAACAAATATGGGAATACTGTATCGTCAGACTTATTGTCCATGTTGAGATTTGCCAGTCCTGTGCTTTTTTCTTTTGATTGTATTTGGGATCAACTATATGTCTTTATTCCTTAAAAATACATTGTTTTTTGACTGCCCAAAATTTTCCCAAACACATTACATGAAATATGATGAGATATGTGAAAATTGATACTACTTGTCTATATTGCGAGGAAAGGACATTCACATGTTGACAAGTAACATAGTCTTGATTTATAAAATGGTCGAATTGCTTAAAATAGTAAAATAATTTTGGGAATCTTGTCATAGGAACAATATTGTCCCAGATATAACATATAAGTGACAATAAATAACCATTGAAAGCAGTCTTTGACCTGATGATGGATTTTTCATTCTAGCTGGGTGAAAGCACTGTAAAATGACTGTTTAATATTTATGAAATATTAAATGCATTGTTTTTTATGCTTCACTCTTTGCGCGTTTGAATGACATACAAATATATTCATTTTCGGGTCCATCTAAAAGTACAGTCAACCCCTATACAATGGGCTTAATTTGTGTAAAAGTTTGTTACACAAATTCAATTATTAAACAATTGAATATTTTACTTTTTTTCATCAAAAATTATAAATCATCAGAAGTCTCTTAGGTGGGTCAACTGCTGTATGTTGGGCTAAGATATTTTTTAAAATTAATTTCCCGATGAAATTCTAACCCAATTCTATAAGCAGATTCTTTTTAAAGTCAATAATTGCTCTCCTTTGCATTTCAAGGCACTAAACAATATTTTGAATTTTATCAGCTCTACTGGAACATTATTTTAAAATGCTGCCTCAGTGGAAACAAAATTGATGTCCAAAACAAATTTTGACAGCCCTCCCATGAAATCTAATAGTTAGACCTTTTTTTGCTGAGAAGCTGAAGCTCGTCCTTATATAAAGGAAAAACGTCCCTAATTCAAAAAAAATCCCCATTAAAGGTGATCATATTTCTTGGAATCCCTCCAAGTAAGACTTTCATAATATGCATATAGCATTTTTACAAATCCTTAAGCAAGTATTCCAAGCTATTATTCCAGTACAGTATATGCTTTCCTAGAGATGACGAGACTTTTGAGTGAACCCTCATCATGACCAACCACATGCACAGGAGCAGCAACAGCAGCAGGATATGAGCAGCAGCAGCACATGTGCAGAGAAGCCAGTATAGTTGTGAGAGACTTTGGATGAAGCTGGTTCAACAGCCCAATAAGGTCTCTTCTCTTTTTTTTTTCTCTAAGTTGCTTCCTGGTGTTTGAGTTTTCAGCATTCATGCAGAAGCACCCGCAGCATAAGTATACACAGTATAAATTCGGTATCAAGTGTTTTTTAGCCCTCGTGTGTATATATGATGTTGTGATGTCAGTGCTGGCCCTGTTTGCGTGGCACTCAATTGTCCCTGTGCGACGAAAGCAATAAGAGCCTTTATAAAATATATCTGCATATATACTGTACTGTACTGTATATCAGTGATGTTCCCATTTTTGCTGGTCCATCATCATGGGACATTTTCTGCAATGTGAATGAAGCTGCTGCTAAGATTTTGCAAATAAAATAATGGCAGATTTGAAATTATCTGATGAAAAAAATTCAAAGTTGGCTCTTCTCCCAACTATAGCCCTTCAGATAAATTTTTGCACACTGAGATAATTTATTTTAACTTTTTCATCCTGCAAAACCTTTCTTCAAGTCCACCTTTTTTATTTTTTAAAAAGACATTTCCCTATATAACTGCTTCATTGGTGTTTTTTTTTTAAAATAGCAACAACTTTTTAAATATCTGCCATGAACTCTTGCAAGCAAAACCTTTTTGAGTCTGCAAAAAAATGTAAGAAACTTTGCTGGAAGCTAGAACAATTTTGAGGAATTTGCCGGTCCGCGAATTTTTGTCGTTGTTGTTTAAATTGTTGCTGGTCTGCAGCAGTCCCAAAAAGGTTGGGGATTACTACTGTGTAAGACGTGACCCAACTCGTGTCAGCCGAATAATCCTCCAGCGACCAGCAGTGGCTTCCTGAGCCTCGCACGGGCTACTGCAACAAAGTCGTGTCCAAATGCTTATTATTGTATGACGCGTGGTGACTCGAAATAATGATAATAATAATAATTATTATTATTATCATCATCATCATCATGTAAATAAATTAGCCGTTTCGTTTATCGATCCCTCGCAGTTTTCGTCTCGCCCCGATGTCAGTTCAATAATAAGGGGTTCTCAATCGTCGTCGTGTTATATTATTTTCGTCGTCGACTGCTGTGCTGCTGCATGATGATGAACGAACGCGGCTCTGTGACTTGTCGTGTGTGCAAAGAGCGTGAGTGCTGATCAGCATCAGTGGGAATTCGCCAATGAAATCGGATCAGCTTCCGCTGCATCATAAGCGACGACGACGACGACGACGACGACGACAACACTGCTGAAAATCCTGATTGTCACTATCACTATTGGGTCCTATATATAGCTGTCGATATCGACGACGAGAGAATAATAAGCCATTGTGGTATATACCTTATCGGTCAGAGTATCGTCAGAAGTAAAATTCAAAATAAAAATGACGGGTGAGAATCATCAGCAATCAGCGGCAGCAGCAGCAGCAGCACCAGAAGAAGATGATGCTGATGGGATTGAGGAGCAGCAGCAGCAGGGTGACAAGGATTTCGAGGATCTCCTCGAGAGGATCGGCAACTACGGCAAGTACCAGAAGAAGCTGGTGTACCTGTTTGTGTACCCGCAGGCCTGCATCCTGCCCTTCTTCATCATGACCATTTTCATTCAAATGAATGTACCTGACCACTGGTGCTCGGTGCCAGGGCGCCAAGACACCAACTTCACGGCGGACGAGTGGAAGAATCTCACCATCCCCTGGTAAATTATCGGACTACTCTACCATGTATATACAGTACTGTGATGTCACAATTCTGTATAGTGTACCCTGCTGGTTCCGATTGTGAAAAAAATCAGTAACGTATGTACAGTACTGTACAGTCCAGTAGATATGCTTACTGAGTACCAACATATGCCCTGAACTTTATAAGAACACCAGAGGGTTTATTTGTCAAACATTTTGATGGAATTGTATCCCCAGCAATAAGTAAGGCTATACAGCCTACCCCATTTTTATTGACTCTAAAACTGCACTATTTCAAAAATAATAAACACCCAACTTTAAGTTTAGACATGAAATCAACCTGTATTCAACTAATTTTCCCTTTTTTCTGTTATTGAAGTACTGTAGTTATTTTATGTTGGACTTAGTTTATAATTTCCCATTGGAATTAAATATATATATAATGCAGACCTGAACTTCTATAAAAAATTTAAAAAAAAAATGTATACCCTCTTTTCCATTGTGCACCTCTGATTTCCTTTTGATTCTGTGGTACTTGATACTAGAGTAATTATGGAATACAGTTACCCTATCTACTCTATGTAGTACCAAGGTCTGCGTACCAGCACAATCTAATATCAGCACACATTTTCTGCTCTCTGCAGGTAATTTTCTTCAGTATAATATATTTATGAAAATTAGCAATTAAATCTGATATGTTTCTCTGAAATTTAGGAAAGACAATTGCAGTTGATGTTATCTATAGTGAAAAATGAAAGTTGCCCTTTTCTATTGGTAAAGTCTAAGTAAAATGTTCTCCTGCTAAGAACAATTATTTTAATATTTTATTCTGAGAAACCTTTCTTCAAGCCCCCCCCCCCCCCCATATAATTGTTTGAAGACATTCCACTATAGCTGCTTCATTGGTTCTTAACCCTCATCAGATGGCAGAGGGTTCCAGGCCAATCCTACAGCAAACTTGGGATTCTTTTTGGGGGGGGGGAGGGGCATTTCAGTTTGACTGAAGGTCACTGAAATGCCCCCAGGTTGCCAAGGCCAAAGTTGGGAAAAATCCAGAAGCTGAAAACTCCATTGTCTCAAGAAATCCTCACTGTTGTTTATCATATGCTGGGAATGCATGAAAAACACCACCCAGTGAGGATTTTTTTGGCAAATTTTTCTGCAGGATATAAAAAAATATTGGATTTTTTCCAAACTTAGGCCTTTTTGGTTCAAAAATCAGATTATTTTAATTTGCAAAGCTCAACATGGAGACCAAATTTTGAAAAAATATCCAAACTTTGCTGCACAAGGGTTAACTAATATTTTTAAAAGCAGAAAATGTTATATCTCTGCCTTGAATTGAGTCTTTCAAACCAATCTTTTCAGTGTATGCAAAAATTTCATGCAAATTTCCAGGCCAACAGAGTTTTTTTTTTACTTGCCAGTCTGCAAAAAATTTCTGTAAATATTCTGGTCTGCAGACTCAAAACAATTGGTGAAAACTGGCCTCAAGTAAGACACCCATCCACCCCAAATTGTTCACCCTCGTAATTTCATGAACTCATATCCCTGAGAGTAAGATGAACAGCCCATTTTTAACCCTTGGGTGTTGGAGGGTTCTTTTTCATTGAGCGGCAGTCACCATTTTTTTGTAGGCCCTGCAATTCAGTTTGACTCAACATCACTGAAATGCTCCCAGGTTGAGAAGGCCTAAGTCAGGCAAAATTCCAAAGGGAGATTTTCTAATGTTTCCAAGATTTTCCCTTGCTATAATCCAATGCCAGGAATGCAGGGAAAAAACACCACACAGTGAGGAATTTTTTCTTATTTTTCATTCAAAATTTTCTGCAGGAAAAAACAAAACATTGGACTATTTCCAAACTTAGGCCTTGGTACAATAGTTGGATTTTTTAATTTCCAGTGCTCAGTGGCACAAAATCTTGCAAAAATATCCTGACCTTGCCTCACAAGGGTAATTAAAGGCTGAAAGCTAAAATATTTCAAAAATATGAGAGGCATCGGAACTCTAGTTTGGATTTGAATGATATTGGATTTTTGGATTTTTTTATATTGGAGAATTGAACATGAATCAAATTGATGTTAATTTTTTCATTTAAATATTAGGTTCCTGCCAAAAAATTCTCATTTGATTCAAGTGTGATGCACACATAAACTTCTCACATACTTTTTATGTCATCCCATGAACACTCCCTTTTGTCTCTCAATTGTGAGGAAAAAGGTGCGCCTGCTGTAGCTGTCTATTGATAATAAATGAAGACTAGGAATATAAATCTCTTTTTTGCGAATAAATAAATAAAATAAAAAACATACAGCGTGAAACAGATGTAGGAAGCAGCAATTTTATATTCAAAGTGCCCAAAGATAAAAATGTTGCCTTTGTATGATTGTTGTACAAGTAAGAGAATATGGTGTACATTAAACTGTTTTGGGTTTGAACAGGAAGAATAAGACTGGGGAGTTTTCTCGATGTTCTTCATACGACATCTCGTTGTTGAGAGAGAAATTACAACACCGCTCGTCTTCAGATGATCTTCACCAGATGTCTATTGAAGAAGCAGTTCATTTTCGCTCAACGAAAACGAATAGTGAGTTATTTTTGGGTGTGGAAGAATGACTCTCAGTCACTGTCAATTCATTCCCAGCATGCTTCGATCCTAAGTTTTGAAAATGGGTGAGAAGCGCACATAGACGAGTCAATCAAACTTCAAACAGCGCGCTTTCCATGAAGTAGAATTTAGCTGGGTGGGTAAAATGAACGTGCATGTGTTTAACTTTTTCTGACTTCAAAGAAATGAAATACTCTTGGCTGTATGTTTACACTGGAGCGTAAAAAAGTAAAGAATATTAAAATTATGTCATGCATGTATGTGGAACTTTTTGACTTTGATCTGCATCACAATAATGATCTCTTCTTATACATACAGGTGGACTCTCTCTATAGCAAATTTGTCTACAAAAATTCTCTCTACAAAATTTTTTTCTGATCCCCAGCTTTCTTGTAAAGAGAGTCCATCTGTATAATGCTTGTAAGTGCTATAAATAAGTATAGGTAATATTTGGCTTACAGAAATCTGAACATCAAATGTATTGTATGGAACAGCACTTTTATCATTTTATGATAAGGTTTTACAAAAAGTGAAAATTCACCAAGTATGTTCCAACTCTGGTGACTGCATGCTGCTGCCTGTTGAGAAAAAGAAGAACACATTTCAAAGTACAGTATATCTTTTTGTTCATTTTGTTGAAAGAATGTGAAACTTGGGACTTTGACATGCAGCACTATGTGCTCACAGCTCCATCAGACTACCAATGGGTATGTGACAAGCGGCATTATGCAACTTTGGCACTGACTGCCCAGAATGTTGGTGGAGTGTTCAGCACTCTGATCCTTGGGCCCCTGGCTGATATGTGAGTACTGTAAAAAAGTACTATTTTTATTATATAATTTCCGCATTGTAGACATTACAACACATAAAATTCATTTTAAGGTTATTTCTGAAACATTCAGGTTTAAGACTTATTGTTGGTCTTGGAATTCTTCATTCAAAGCAAGTTTTTACTGCAGTTTGAATTTATTCTGCAAATTACTGTATGTCTAGTCTTTATACAGTATGTGCGTCATGTGCCACTTCAATTTTAATTGGGAATATAATATAGTCACATTCCTTTTTACAGTATTTCATTTTCATTTCTCTGTCACAAATCCTGAATCAATTTTTGTGTCTTCTTTGCCATAAAATCAAAAGATTCATTAAGTTGTAATGAAAATACTGTACTGTACAAGATATCCAATATTTCATTCTCTGTAAAAATGAAAAGTTGAAAATCACTTTTTGAATATGATCCATCTCATTTTTCAAGTTTCCTTGAGATTTCTCAACTTTCCATGAACTTCCAGCATTTTGTTTCATCTCTTTCTCTCTGTTTTGTTTTGTCTTATGCAGAGTAGGAAGGAAGCCAATCTACTTTCTGAGTCTGGCTCTGCAAATGGTTTTTGGCATTGCAGGCCTTTTTGCTCCTGAGTTTTTCTCATTCACACTCATGACTTTCTTGAGGGCCTTGGGATTCCCTGTGGTCTGGCAAGCAGTTTTTGTCTTGGGTAATTATCTCTTCATTATACATATATAGGATATATAGGCACTCTCAGTTTTGATGAGAACTTTTTCATTGAGGTGATGTTGATGAAGCTGCAGATTTGGTTTGATTGGGTGCAGCAGTTTGAAAAGTCTTCTTTTGTTTCCCCCCCTTTTTTGCTAATTATTCTTGCTGGGATGTCTCACTTTTGTGTGCAGCCATGGAGATTGTTGGGCCTCACCAGAGAGCCATGATCAATGGGGTCTTGAACCTGGCCTGGACAGTAGGTGTGTGTGCGCTGTCCCTGGTGGCCTACTTGTGCAGGGGACACTGGGTCATCCTGGGTCTCCTGGCCAATGTCCCTATGATCCTCTGCTTTGGCTACTACTTGTGAGAAACTCATATTATTATAGGATGCAAATTAATTTGAAGATAGCATTCACACAAAGTCTTTGTCAATCATGTGAATCTTTGGAGGGCTAATGAGGCAGCAGCAGGGGCGAATTCTGCTACATTTAACAGTAATATTCTAGTATTAGAGTTTATAAAATGAGGCCATTTAGTTTGTATACATTATCATGGCATATTTTGTGCTTTCACAATAGCAGTAAAGGGACAAGCAGGAATAATTTGGGTGTCACATAGCTCCAATTTTTTCTGAGTCCAGTTTTCTTTTATTCAAAGAAACCAGAAAAACTGGAAAAAATAAAATTGTTCTCAAACATGTTTGAAAAAGGGTTAAAAACCATTTTTGTTGAACTGAACCCAAAATGATGAGTCTTCTGGGTTGTATATTTGGAGTAGACTTGTATGGGAGTCTCCCAGATGGTTGGCACAGAGAAATAGGCATGAAGAAGCTGCAGAAATTCTACTCAAAATTGCCAAGGAAAATGGCACAGCAGACAAATTTAGCAGCAAAGAGAAGTTGGCTCAAGAGCTAAGGATTCTCAGTAAAGATGAAGAACCACTTCAGGTCCACTTTTGGCCTCTTTTCAAGCGTCCCAAGCTTAGGATCCGCACTTTGATCATCACATATGGATAGTAAGTGATATTTTTTTTGTATACACTGTGCAGTAATTTCTGCTTTCTTGACAACAGAAAATTAATAGAAAAAGTTTCTAACATATTCCTCTGTTTTTCTTTTTTCTTTTTTGCAGCACAGTCATCATGATCTTATACTATGGCCTTCACCTCAACATATCCTCTTTGGGTGGAGACCCATATTTCAACTTTGCTGTCTTAGGTGAGGATGAAACAGAGGTATTTTCATTCAAACAGTATGTGAATACACAAGATACATTCAGAATTGTCATATTTATGCTGTAAATCCAGATTAACTATAGTTTTAATGAAGTTTTATTTTAAGCAAAAAAACTGGCTTTTCATAGATAATCCTACATGTTTTGATGTCTTTGGTTTATACTATATTCTCTTCAACAATGCCTATATACAGATTTAAATACTGTCAACTCACATACAAGGATACAACAGACCTCCTGTACATCAGATTTTTGCAGAACAGACTGGTCAGAACAGAAGTAATATTCAGGTTATTGTACATTATGCAGTGTATTGCTTTAATTTTTGACTTTGAACTTTCAAGCATTTCCAAAGAAAGTGTGTGACTATGATATTGATGAGGCATTTCAAAAATGAGTTTTTTTTACCAATGATCTGAATTTCCAACAAAAAAGTTTGATATTTCTGTGAGGTTTGAAATGCATGCCATTCTTCTTGAATAAGTTTGATGGAAGAATCAAGTAAAATAAATCAAATATAAAGTGCCACAATCAATTGTGATCTTCTAATGCCAGTCTTGCATCCATAAAACATACTGGTACTGTATGGAATTATTACACATGGCTTTTAATGTGAGTAAAAAATGAAAATCTGGGTAGAGTATAATTGGATGACAGATTGTGATAATTTCAATGTTTTCTTTGTGCTATCAATATCTCTCACATGCTTGATAGCACCAGTAAAAAGTTCTTTGGCAAACATTTATAATTATAAACAATTTTATCCAAAATTGTTTGCATTTGTACCTTTAAAATTTGCTTGCGTGTTTCAGTGAAAGAATCTCCATGCAGGTGCAGATCTCCACAGACTAATCAAATTCGCAATCTAATTTTTTTAAAGGGTTTTTTGAGTTTCCTGCCTACGTGTTCAGCTGGTGGGCCATGGACAAATACGGAAGACGTTGGGTCAATGTGCTAAACTTGTTTATAGCTGGCCTAGGATGTTCTCTGGTCGCCATGACACCTAAAGGTACAGTCCCATGTATGCTACAACCTTAGACTCTGGCGCCATCTGCATGCACACTGTAAAAAATTATGTTTGTTTTTTAAGTAATGGATGCTGACTTATTTGCAGAACATTGGTTGGTAGTGGTGTGGTCCATCCTGGGCAAGTTTGGCAGCTCTGGGGGCTTTGTGCTCATCTACCAACAGGGCTGCGAAATCTTCCCCACTGTGCTGAGGTCCACTGGACTTGGCTTCATGTCTCTAGTGGGGGCTGCTGTCAACACTGGGGTGCCACAACTGGTATTTCTGGTGAGTGCCTGCATTTGTGCAAGTGTGTTTATGTGTGTGTGTGTGTATTTTGGGTACCCATTCATAAATTATTATTATCTAAAAAATAAATGTGGCCTTGTTTATGTTTTTTTTTATCCCACAAAAAGTGCCAAAAACCATAATTATATTGCCTTTGCCACATTGATTGGAAAATGTTCCTCACTCCAATTTTTACTGAAGTTAGTTTGAAAGTCTATCTACTGCCTTTATGCTGCATTAAAAAGATCATATACATTGAGCTTTAAGCTGGAATAAGGATCTGTTTTTTAGTATATAAAAGTTATGGCAGCATGCCATCCAAAAACTTTATGTGGAGTGGAAAGGGCTGAAGAAGTTGTAATAGAAATGGAGAATTTACATAATAAAAATTTTGAATTATTCCTGTGCAATGATTTGGATGCATGAATAAGGAAGGTTTCATAAAGACATGTCCAAACTTTTTTCAATTTTATGGGAAAAAATTCTGATGATCAAAAAGATATTCTGCAGGATAATAAAATTATTGCAGTACTTTGCTGTGTTTGGATTGATTCTTTGATATTATTCATTTATCCATCCAAAACCTTCACTTTGCTTTACCTTTTCAATTTTTTTATTTTGATAAATACCCCTGATGGTGGAATTTTGGGAACCATGTTATATGTTGCATTCAATTTTAGTACGTGCATTGCAGCATAATAATTTTTTTCAATTTCCAGGGAGAAGTGTACCACTACTCAATCCCCTATGTCACATTTGGCATCATGTCTATGGTGGGGGTGGTGTTTGCAGCCTTCTTGCCAGAGACACTCAACAAAGACTTACCAGAGACAGTGGAGGACTCTGAGACATTTGGACTGGACCAGACCTTCTGGAGCTGGAATTTAAGTCCCAAGCCTGGAGAGGGCCCCAAAGCAGAAGCCACACAAGAAAGCAGTGAGGGTGACCTTGCATCAGCAACAGAGACCTACTTGGCCAAACAGGCACCCAATGGTGTACAAAGGGTGTCTCTCAGTGAGACAATTTGCTGATTGATTGATTGATTGATTGACAGCTTCCTGGATGATGTGGTAGAAAAAAAGGACTGAGTGTGTGTGTGTGTGCATGTGAACAGTTTTGTTTTCTATAAAGATGATTGAGTGACACTTGAATAGGGAAGAGCTGATTACTGTGGCTCCCCATCAATGAGGGCTTGAGAGTATGTGTCTGTGTTTCCATGATTACCGGGTGATTGTTTGCTGAGAACAATGCAGCAACTCTATATTGTCAGACCCTTTTGCTTCCCAGCCTTTTTTATATATGCCATCCCTGGCAAAATATGGCCTCTTCTCATTTGTGAATTGATCACTGACTGTATACATGTACAGTATATGCGTTTTTCTCTTTTATAGAGAGCAGAGCACTACTACAATACCTTTGCTGAATTGTGCCACCAAAAGTGAGTTAACTATATAGTTTGAACTGCTGCCTTAAGATGGATGATCTCAGTAAAAAGCCAGTATGTCACTGAAACCATCCAGAAATCCTTTTCATGCTTTAGAGTTTGTGTGAAGCACCCAATTGATGGTGCCAAAGAAGCCACATTAGTGTTGACATCAATAAATTATACATTTTCTAATTTACTGGCTTTTTCACTGAAACCATCCAGAAATCCTTTTCATGCTTTAGAGTTTGTGTGAAGCACCCAATTGATGGTGCCAAAGAAGCCACATTAGTGTTGACATCAATAAATTATACATTTTCTAATTTACTGGCTTTTCAAAGAATCAATTCACACGTGTCCATATTTAGAATATACAACAATTGAAATTAACTTGAACCAACTTCATCTCACTTTGCTATATTTTATGTGCATCAGATTTTTGCTATTGAATTCCAGCACAGAATAATTTGTCTCCCACAAGCAGTTAGCCTGCATGTACAACTGAATGAACTGATTGAGAAAACTCAGAACAAAATATAGCTGCTATAAACAGTGTTGACCTTCACCTATCTCCAAAAATATTCATCAGTGAACAAAGCATGGGACAAAAGCACACAGTTTTCAGAATCAAGGACATATTAACCCTGTTAGTCCTAGTTATCCTTCACACTGAAGGACCTTCACAATGTCCTTCACAGAGAACCCCAGTCTGGGGTTCTCAGGCTTGTTTTTACTGTTGATTGACTTTGAATACATAGGACCCAAACTATCTTACTTCGTACACGGAGGTTACCGTTAGACGAACCGGTAGAAGTACCAAACATTTTCATCACAAGTCATCTTAATTATACAACAAACAATTGTTTGAGAAGACTTGAGGAACTTATTGTACCTCAGGAATAGAATATTTCCAAGTTAACCATCAATTAATTGGTTTTCAAGGCACCAACAGGCCCATGAGTGTTTTCTTTTTGCATGCTAGGGATCTTGAATGATGCACAGTAATTTATTTTACTTTAAAAAACTCATCATGAATGCTTTGTATTTGGTGCATACTTTAAAGACCCTGCTGCACTGGAGGGCCATCTACCCAGGCTATGAGGACCCCTGGGACATGTGTGTGAGTGCAGAAAGAGTCTTGGATGATGGGGATGTGGCTTGTCTGTTTCTCAGCAGCTTTGAACATGCTGGCTTCCTCCATCTTTTTTGCAACATGGTGTCTTTTGTGTGGACTGCAGCATGTCTGGAGCACTCTCTGCATCCACTCTACTTTCTCTACTTGCTTGTGTCACTGGCCTGGATCTGCAACCTAGTTGAGATTGGCATGGCTGAGTTCACAAGCAACTACTTACATGATGAAATGGCCAGATATGCCTGTGCCATTGGATTTTCAGGCACAGTACATATACAAAATGTTGAATTTAGTTTTTTGCAGATTTAGCATTTGAGATTTTACAGAGAATAGAATATAAGTCAATTTTGAGGTAACCCTATGCAGAACCCTCCATTTTCCCAAGAACCAACAACTCATCTTCACAAAAAAAAATTGAGAATAATTTCAAAGAGCCTTCAGAACTTGAAGTCAATAGAATCAAATCCAAAGCATGCTCAATAGTATCAGATCTTTGATCAATGGACTTTTGCATTAAAAAATGAGTACATAAGGTACTTACAGTATTTACTTGAGTACTGTACCACGTGCACCTTTTTTCTCAAATTTCAGAAGAAAAAAGGGGTGTGTGTCATAAGTGGGTACAAATTTTTGAAAAAAGTTTTAGGAAGTTATGTGTGCATTATACTTAATTATAATGAAGAAATTTTGAACAAACGTAACAAGAAAACTTTTTTGTACTGAAAAAGTTGAAAATTGATCCCATTTTTTAAATTCACGTTCAAAGTCAAATTTTTCTGAATTTATTTTCTAAATTTTGTGGTTTTAGATTCACTAAAAATTGGGGTGTGCATCTTACTTGGGTATAAGATTTTACCTAAATTTCCAACTGAAAAACCCCTGTGCGCACCTCATACTCAAGGGTCTGTGGTACTCAAGTAAATACAGTAGACTTTTAACGCATATAAATCCCATGCTGCTCATCATTGGCCATTTTTATGAGTCAGCTCTTGAAGTTAATTGTGACTGTTTTATCTTATGCTGCTTTATGCTAAAATGCAACCAATTAATTGTAAATCAGGTGATCATTGATGCTCTAGAGGGGTTTTCCATGAATAATTGTAGCACTAATGTATGTATACTGCTGCCTCAACCTTATTGTATTGGCTGACTCTGTTGTGCAGACTCAATTGTTGTTCATATTGTATGCCCTTTTACATTTTTATAATAATAATAGTGACATAGCAACACAAGCAATTTGAATGCCTCAAGGTCCTTGAATTTTTCCCATGCAATGCAGATGTGCTGTTTGCCCTCAAGATCCTGTTGGTGTGCAGTCCAGCCACCCATGACAAGTGGAGGGAAGGGGTGCTACTCAAACACTTGCCTTATCCATCCCTGAGTCTGGTCACCCTGGAGTTTGCCCTGCTCCACCTGTTTGTGCCTGAAGCCTCTTTGCAGAGCCACTTGGCAGGTGTCATTGTGGGCATGTTGTATGTGGCTGGGCCACTGAGCATCCCACTCAATCGGTAGACCTGGACCCGGTGTGACCCGACCCCGACGACGACACCGGTCTACCTGGTCGGGGACAAAGCTTACGAACCGTACGTTCACCTACTCAGACCTCTACACCACTTCCGACCTCGTTATTGTCGAGACAAGCACCATCAGCAGCAGCAGCAGACAAAAGGCAACAAGGTTTCCACTTTCAGGATCATCAGGAAGTACTTGGCAGGAGGTTCGCATTTGGCATTCAGTGTATAAAGTATATATATAGTTGCTGTGAATGAAAAAATATATAAAAGGGGGGAATGGGATGAATGAAAGGAGACAGATTGGCACAGTACTTTCTTGTTCAAGCTGCCAGCATGCAGCAGTCCTCAGCGATCATCACTTTTTCTGCCTCCTATTCTCTTGATCAAATTTTATAGAATGTGCCAAATATGTTGCCTGTAAAAATGAGAACATCAGCCTTTTTTGCTTTGACCATTTTTTTTTTCTTGGACTAAAACCAAGAAAAGTTGTAATGGTTGAGTACAATATTTCAACAACAAGCATCCTTGTAAGTGGAGTAGAGAAAATGCTGATTCCTGTTGGGATTGATCAGCCTTCTATTGTACCAAACACACTCCACATGGCTTGGAAAGTAATGCTGCAACTCTCTTTTCAACAAGATTGATCTTCTTTAATATCAATTCCTATTCTATGGCCAAACCGCTGGTATAAACTAAAAGCCTACTGTATATGTAAGCTAAGATCACAAAAGTATCAGCATATTTATAAAATATAGAACTGAGTGGTCTGATGGGGATTTTGAGCAGCAATTCTTGTGTAATATACATTCACTAGCTGTACTGTATATTGCTGTTAAAAATATGTCAATTTTTCATGCGGCAACTCAAAAGCCAATTTTTCGATGTTCACGTTCTTATCTTTCACAGAAAAGAAGCAGGAAAATGGAAATTTAAACAAAAATGCCAATCTGAAGTGGAATGTACTTTATAAATATCTCACTTGATTCTCTCCTGTCTCACAACAGCTGGAGAAGAAACGGAAGCTGAGGATGACTCCTTATCCTCCACTGAGGATGATTTTTCAGCCTCAGAAGCAAAAGAAAAACACAAGCTTGGCACCCATAGTAAGCAGCAGTGCCATAACAATAAGAGGCTCAAGTCTGCTCTCAGAAGAAGAGGGCAAAGTAGTGTTGTCAAGAAAGTGAGGATCGTTGATCCCCCTTCAACCAAAGAAGCTGGTGGCAAAAAGGATCTGTCTAGTGGTAGAGTGGTTCATCCGCCGCCTGCGCCAAAATTCCCTCCACCTGTCACTTACTCCACCACAACCAGCAGCATCAGGGCTGGCATCACTCAGCCCTATCTACCAGTCCAGGAATTCAGGTCAAATTTCAGGTCAGCCGGTCCACCTATTATCCTTAAATTTGAAATACATAATTGAAATAAATTAATATTATTAAAATAAATTATTATTGTATTTAAAGTTGTATGGTGTCACAAGGAAAGTTCATTCCAGGATATAAATATAAGAAGTATAGTATTTAGTTGGTACTACAGTACAGTACATATTCTCTCCATTCAGTGGCGGTATTTCATGCTTTTGAAGATATGGTAGAACAAACCATTGATTTGCACATGAATGCTTTCTTTTCTCTCTCTCCTTAACTGTGGCATATACAGCTGGTCAAATTCCATGAAAACAAATACTAATGTCACAAAACTCCTTGGAAAAAATGCGGAATTGATCTTGTTCCAGCAAAATGCAAGTACTGTAGTGTCCAGTGCAATACATTCTTTAGGATTTTTCTGAGCATTTTCTTACACAGTGCTTGGAATTATCAGATTGAATTGATCATACAGAAACTTTATTTTACTGCGCTTTTGCTTTAAAATAATTAGTTATTCTGCTGAGAACTGCAATTTTCTACAAGTACTGTACGTGGAATTGTAAAAAAAAAAACTCAGTTGTGAAGGACTTCATCTTCAATTTTCAAAAAACTACGGCAACTTTATGGGAATTTTAATAATGTACTGTACTTAACTTTTTTATTTACTGATCCTCATCAGAAGTTGCCATAACAAAAACGCACCTGTGATATTTCTTTGAAACGAAGTTTAAACCTGGTTCTAGCATAAGTTGCTGTTCCACAACTTGAATACTGTACTCAACATTCTGTACTTCAGCGAAAAGATACAGAACTATTTTGCCTATAATGTTGGTCTGTCTTGAATAATATTGACTCAAGCACCACATAAAGAACTTTCTCACTCTTCACACCACAGCCATGAAGGACATTTTGAAGGCAGTATGCCAGCTCCAGAGCCATTTCCAAGAAAGGAGAAGAAGTTGAGGCTCAGCTCCAGGGGACTTTTCAGCATGAGAAGACCCAGGAGCCTGAATGACTCCCTCAAGTTGGTCAAAAGCATGCTGCACACAGGAGTTTGACAGAACATCAATTCTGTGATTTACAACTATTTTTTTTTTCTTCTTCATTTGATGAAGAAAATGCAAAAACAATATCCTCAGCAATGTTCGCTTCGCTTCAATTGTATTTATTTTATGATGATGCACCTATTGATGAGAATTTGTGCGGAGACTACAGCAGCTATGAACAGAAAATTGCGAACAATAAATTTCTCACGAAAACGCACTCTTCACAAATATAAGCGAAATTTGAACACGGTTCATGTCATATGCAATGGCATCTCTGACAGTAAAAGGGAAGCTGCTGGAATTTAATCTTACAAATTAAATTTCACAGATTTCGTCAATTGGCAATTATCACCATTGATGGAGACTGCTCAGAATCAATTTGATGCAATGAAAGCGTGAAAGACATTTCCAGTCATCATCTGCATCCAGGTTGAGGCCCAAAAACCAGCTAAGCATCTCATTTATGATCATCGGTCATTTTCCTTTTGGGAAATTATTTTGTACAGCACATGTAAATATGTCAAGTGTTCACTCATGCACCAGTTGTCAAATCCTTCTCATTTCCTTTTCGGCGATAAAAAATTCTAATAGACCTACAGCATTAAAAAGTTCACGCCTCAAAATACAAGTATCAAACGAAAGAAGATGCTCATGGTACACTTGTGATTACGGGGAGATCGAGTTCGGGTAAATCGGTTATCTTCATCAATACGCGAGAAACAAATGACCAACAAGGTTCCTTTTTTTTTCAAGCCAACAAATGACCCTTCATTTTTCACCGCACTTGTTCTCAGCCTTTTATCATGCCTTTTACGAAGCTTGATTATCGTTCACTTCCCTCCCCGCTCTCTTTCACCGACAGAAGGAATTTTGCAGCAAGAGAAACGAAAACGTTTACCCAGACTCAAGAGAAATACTGCTCTCTCAACTCTTCCCCTCTCCATCAGTCACATACATGACAGTACAGTACTTAGAAAAAAAAACGAAAAACAGCGAGAAAATTGGACGAAACACTTTTTGACTGCCTGGAAGATCACATGAAAGAGAGAGAGAAAAAAAACCGAGAAAAATAAAAAGGAAGACCCAACCAACTCCGATCGGAACGCGGCAATCAATCAATCAAATCGACAAAAAATAAAACGTTACCAACTTAGAATTAAAAATCCCTCTTCACTAGGTTACGGAAAAATCGCGCGGTACAGGGAAATCAAAAAAATGGCTGACACACACCGGGCTGCAAAGAGCCTACACAAGCAGTCAGTCAGTCTCGCTCATTCGCGCAAAGCGAGAACAAAAAAAAAAAAATGCAGCAGACAAAGCAGACAATTTTGGCACACGCACACTCACAAACACCCACGAAACAAACAAAAAAGCGGAAAAATCGTGACCTGCTCGACCTTTCAGGGACAACCAAACTAGAAACGCCGCCTTCCTTTTCCAGATTGTTTCCACCTCCTCTCTTTTCTATGACAAGACTCACTTTTTCTCTCTCTCTTCCTTCCCAAGCGTGTCCCTGAAAGACCAACAATAGGCTCGAGCCTGTGAAAAAAAACGCAACGCACACAGAGAGGAAGAAAAAAAAAACCTTTGCTCGAAGCAATAAATATTAAAAAAAGGGGATCCCCACACTCGTCTTCTTCTTCTTCATCGCTCTAAAATTCAAAACAAGTTGGTTGGAACTCGAGACGACACTTATGAGAAATTCAACTTTGCCCCACACCTCTTTTCCTTTCTCTCTCTCTCTCTCGCTCGCTCATTCTTTCGCTCTCATATTGCAAAAAATGAATCAACGCACGTCCAAAATCCAAAGCCAAGAAACAAAAAAGGATCCTCCTAAATTTGAATCTCCTCCGCATTCTTCTTTCTTCTTTTGAGCCAACGTTCGACACACGCCGTTGTAATGTTACACAAATGTTTTCGCTGCAGCAGGAAACGGAGACAGGAGCAAGAAAAAAGAAGAGCCCGGCACGAAATACTCGTAAATGCGGCGGCAGTATTTTTGCTTCTTCTTCAAGAAAATCATCAAGACGAGTAGTGCAATAAGCCAAAAAAAACAAAGAAAAACAGACGGGGCTTCAGTCGGCGGACGTCCGGAGAAGATGACGAAGAACGAGTGGTGATAAAAGAAAGAAACAAAGAGAAAGCAAGACGGGAGAATGAGGAAAGAAAGAAAGAGAGAGAGAGAAACGCACAGTCGAGTCGGGACGACGACGTCGACGTTGCAAAAAGACGGACAAATCCTTCCTAGTAACCGCACTTGGTCAAGTAGTCCCCTAGCGACTCGACGACCGACGCAGCTTGTTGCGGCTTGATCGGCTCCTCGTACACCGCGATTATCACCGCTGCAAAAATTAAGAAGCCATTTCTTCAGTTCACACATCAATTACAAGAAAAACTTCAATAAAATCGCCACTCACACGCACACACACACACAAATTAGCAATGACTCAAGCCTTGTTCAAAACCATACTTAGTCTAATAATGGGGAAAAATTGAAAAAATTTCTGCTGCCAAGCAGACGACAGAGTCAGTGTGGAGTAAGAATACCATGCAATTTCACTGGACTGCGCCAAAACAAAGAAATGAAGTACTGTACAGTATCATCAAGGACAAAGAAGGCGGAACAGGAAAGTTTCAAGAAATTCTTGAAAATGAGTTTGGTCTCAGAATCCTCAGCACCAACTCAATGTCCCGCCCCCTATCATTCCAAGCGTCGTGATTCCTTCGCCGTGCATACCGGAAATTCAAATATTACTCACTTCAAACGCATCTATTTTAGGTTTCAAACCAACATTTCAAAACTTGAGAGATCGACCACGCAATGATCACACAATTTCATTCAAATTTTCTCAAGCATCAACAGAAATTTATCGGGTCCCATACTCCATACCCGAAATGAAATTGAATCCTTCGTATCAACAATACCGTACCGTACTGAACTACCAACCTACCACCTCTCCTATGCCGACAAGCTCAAACATTCCGTCACGCTCTTCACACACAAGTTAAAATCTAGAAATGCTTCGACAGTACAAGATGAGAGCTACAAATTTCCCAGACACACTGAACATAACGGAACATGATTCAAAAAAAAAAATGGAGAGATTACGAGAGGTGTCAGAGAGAGAAAGAAATTCGTCCCTCATCTGCATCCACGAGTCTCCTATCGCACGGCTAGAAGAGCATATCGCTGCTGCTGCTGCTATTTGCTCAGCACCAGACGCCAGTTTTCAGTTTATCCAAGAGGATAGGATTATTTTTAAAACAAGGATAACCAACGGGGGGGAGGGGGGGGATACGATAGATCTTTTGCTCGCATTCGATTTTTGACTCCAGGGGCAATTCCAGTTGCAACACTTTCGTTCTCATCGTCCATCACAACCTTTTCAATCAATCACTAAAATTGAATAAAACAAATAATAGCAGCTACTTGAATCAAATCCAACACACACACACACACACAAAATACTGTACTAAAATGGGATCGACAATGACCCTAAGATTCAATACACGCAGCTTTGCCAGCAGTCTGGTGGGAAGGGTGAAAACGAGACGAATGATACGTTGCAATTGTTGGAATATCGTTCAGCTAACCAGGTTGAAATGGAGAAAATACATTTGAAAGTCGAAGTCAGGCAGATCCAGAGGTCTGTTCCGCTTTTATAAACCATATTATGAATTTTCGGTTCAATTTGTTCTTATAATGATAATGGGACCTTTCTTGGTGACCGACCATGTTCGAAATTAAAAAAAAGAAATCAATGATTCTCGTCAAAAACTGATCAACGACTTGCCCCACATCATGCACGAAATATTTCATCAAGTCGACAGATGAATTACACGTACAATACACGCCCAAATTCCGACAAAAAGAAAACAACACACACACACACACACACACACTGACAAAGCAGACATGAAAAAAAAATAATAAAATGAAATAAAACAGACCTTGGCTAGTTTTGGCGCAGTGCAGGCCAGCAACCTCCTTCCTGGCGCGAACCACATTGTCGCTGCCCGACAAGTAAATGTACCTCTTGCCTGCGATCCGAACTCCATTGGCGTAAAACTGGCTCGAGTCCTTCATGCCCGCCAGCAACGCACTCACTTCATCCTTCGTCACCTGTTGTTTCAACAAAAGGAAAAAACAATATCACCAAAAGTGCTTGATACAAAACAATACAGTAATGCACCGCATTTCCAGGTCCGTTAAAATATCCTCTCAACTTGCTGGACTGACTCTCTCTCTCTCTCTCTCAAAGCCCTTCTCACAAAATTTGAGTGCGTTTCGTTCAAAATGAAAGCCCCAGCAAAATGTTCAAGTCAACCACCGCTTCGAATCAATCCGCTTTAAATCACTTACAGCCCCGAAAAGACAAAACACCCGGGGGAATAAAAAAAAAAAATACCCGGGACTGAACGTCCTTCTCAAGCCTGAATTTCGCCCAAGCGCTTCAATTTCACATGATTCGCAACTTTCGAGTCGAAACGTATTTCGCAAATGCCGATACAGAATACAAAAGGATACATCACTGACAAACCCATAGACCATAAACTTCTCTTGTAAGGAAGCCCAACAGTCGAGTAACATTTACTGTACAGTACAGGTATGTTGCAAGAGTAACGCTTCATGCGACATCTACCCATCCATTCCAGAGACCACGTCGGAAGAAACCCCGAGTTTTGACGCATGAACAAAAAAAAAAAAAGCATTCTTCGCAACGAATACAGTGGAAAGAAATGCAGACGAAAGGAGATGAGTGTGAGGCTCAACAACACAATCGAAATTTCGTCTGCAAATTCTCCCCCCCCCTTTTTTTTCTTGTTCAAATAAAATCACGTCTGATCGGAGCAAAAGTCAACATCTCCCCGATTGTTTGAGATTCCCTACATTCCGAGCACACACGGGCCATTTCATTCGACACACACATACAAGCCAGTCCTCTCTCCTCCCCCCACAAAATAAACACCCTCGAACAAGGAAAAATGTTGCACTGTCGAACTTCAAGGAACCCGGTAGTTTTCGAGTAGGAGAAAAAGAGCATTTTCGTTGGGGTAAAGAAGGGAAAAAATAAGCGAAATTTCTTCAAGTGGCGATATTCCGAACGTTGAATTGCTTTCCAAATAAGTAAACGGTTGAAGCTGAATTTGGAGGAACGGGTTCATTTTTTTCCTGCTTTTCACTGCCCTGTGTCAATAATTCAATAGGCAAAAAGGCCTCCGGAGGAACGTTGATTGATGCAGAATTGAAGAGGAAAACCTTTGAGTCACGAAGGTTCATAATGAATTGACTAGCCTAAAAAAATTCAGACTAGGAGTTAAAAAAAAAAAATCAGGGAGGTTCGAGCTGTACAAGAAACAATTTATTTTTCATCATCCTCCCTCAAACTTCGTCAAACACGTGGCCCAACATTTCGGGGGAAAACGGGGGAGTCTAGCCAGAGTTGACGAGCTGCGAAAATCGACAAGTTCCTGTCACAAAAATGTCCGCACAGAAAGAAAAAGAAAAAAAAACAAGAAACGAGGATGGAAAAGGTAGACAGAGACTTTCGCAACCGAAATAATTAAAACGGAGCCTCGTGATTACAACTGAAGAGGAACGAAACCCCAGAGGGGAAAAATAAAGGCAAGAGCAAGTTCAGCCAGCCACAAGGAATTAATTCGCAAACCAGAAAACGCCCACTCATTTTTTTTTTTTTTGAAACTCTCGATTACATCACATCCTCTTCCTCATCTTTCATCCACCGTTCCACTATTGTATTACCGAGCAACCAACTAAAGTACTGTATTGTATGTATGTAATACATTGCCCACTCCACTTCCGTGTTTACAAGAACAAAATCAACAAACCCCCAGGAATGGACGTCTCGTCAAGACCAGTGCTTCAACGAGACAATAAGCAGTTCTTCTGCAACAATACTGACGCTTCATCCCCCCTTCAATTATTTATTCAACAAGGAACTCGACCAGGATTCGTTGAATATTTCACAGGTTAGGTTAGGTTTCTATTGCCTCCGATAAATGAAAATAAATAAAAATGAACAAGTTGGGCAAGTCGGGGTGTTGCGTAATCCACGATCTTGAGTCCAGTACTACAGAACAGTACTTGAAAGATGTTTAAGATTCTAGTTAGCACAGTGCAGTACTGTACTTCACTGAGTAAAACCAAAGTCCTCTTTTTCTTCCTTTCTCCTCTCTCTTTTTTTCCACTCCCCGTAGCCAATGGTGAAACGGGAGGCGCGTCAAGCAATTTAACGATCATCTTTTCCTTCTCTGTAAACTGGGACACAGCTAAGAAAGTACTGTACTCTATGCTGTATCCCAAAATAAAAAATAAAAAACCCTCGAAGGACAGCCTTGGAACCAAATCCGTCACGCTGTAGCAATTCTCCAATAAATAGACAAAAGCCGAGCCACATGATCCCAACGAATAGAGATATAAAAAAAAAAAAAGAAAAGAGAGAGACCAAGAGAGAAAGAAGCACCTAACCTCCCCGTTGAAACACAGACGACGATGGCAACCCTAGACAACCAGAGGACAAGGTGACCCAGCCTTCACCAGCACCAGCAGCAGCCGCCGCCGCGAAGTACTGTTTCCCCCTCCCCCTCAACACACAGCCAGCCGCAGACTTGCGTCATACATGTACTGTACTGTATCGCAAGAACCACCACCTCCACCCACCCATTTACTTGTCCATCCATCCATCCACTACCTTTCCCTGTGTAGTACAGTACTGTACAGTGCAGTGCACTCTTCCCCCATCTCCCCCCCTCAACTCGCATCTCTTATCCCTCCTCATCTCTCGCTTTCTCCTCCTCCCCCCTCCCATCCCCTCTTCGTCTATACAGGGTCCGACAGGAAAGGGAAGAAGATGAGTACTGTACCACATAACCACGACGACGACGGGGGCGCGCGAGTCAGAGCAGCAGAGAGCGACAAGACAGCGGCGCCCAACTGCAAGGAGATGATGGTGCCACCACAAGTGTGCTCATCACCACTTGACACCGACACGAGTCAGTCAGTCAGTCAGTCGTCGTCGCTCTTCCCCCACTTACTTACTCACTCACTCGCTCACTCACTCACCCACCCACATCCCCCCACAACATGGCAAACACAATTCGCTTCCTTGTTCTTCCTTCTTCCGTCATTGAAGGCGCTCACAAGTTGTTGATGCTGTTCCCGGGTCAAGGTGAGAACATTTCTTGGGTAACACAGGCATTCGATTGTGCGACGGAGGAGATGGCGGGAAACCCCCAAGCAGTGAGTGATTCACCCACCTTCGTCATCGCTTAGAAACGATAAATCTACTACTGTACTGTACTGAACAAGAAAACCACACGATAGAATCACCTACAGGTAGTTGCAGTTCGAGGTCCAAAAAGGAACATCTAAGGTTATCCACATTCGACTGCCAACACAAACGTCGGCAGATCACATCACTAATCCCTTAACTGACCAATTCAGAAAGCATTCATACAATGCCTCAGGTATTGGTTGACTCTCTACACACACAAAAAAAATTATATATTCTCCAGTCATTCAACATTTCGTCCATTCCTTCCCACTGACAGCATACCTACCGCACGTAAATGCGGCAATAGACTACATAAATTGACTGGGCATGATAAGGTACAGTAATGCACTCCGTGTACATTCCAACAGCCAAATGCCACAGATATCAGCCAAGCGTATTGCATACAATTTTCACGAATGTGGCAGGAACAATCAAGATCTGTACTGCCCATTCATCTAAAGTACTGTACACGAACTGTACTGTACAACCTTTTCCGCCTTTTGCGCATCCACTAGCGACATCTGGGGCGATATAAAAACTCGAATCGCCTCAAGAAGTCTGGACTGGACACCTCGTGGGTACCAAGCAATTACCGTACTGTACCAACAACGATCTCAACCATATACTCTCCAGTAGTTTTGGTCTACCTGCGTGCACGCTCAACCCACGTCACTTTCTACATACCTTGCTCAAAATGACCCTAATACTGCACTGTACTGCGTGGCTTTAAAAAGGCAAGGGGAATTAGTCACCGCCAGTGTGGACACCCCAAAAACTCCCCAGAGGAAATGAATCTCATACCGTACTACTTAATGTGTAATTGCTCGAATCACACGATTCAACTCGATTTCACGTCAGGTTTTGAAAGAAGGAAAGTACATACGCGTGGTCCTGAATAAAATAAATACCCTTGCAGTAGGGTGTAAAAGGTGTGCAGTGCGTATTTGCACCAGCACCATAGTGACAAGAGTCTCGCGCATAAAGATATACAGTACAGTATAGATACATTACATGCATATACAGCACATACATACACACACACACACAGACAGACAGACAGAAAGAAAGACTCGGTCGGCCGAGGCCAGCAGACGAGCCGGCGGAAGCAGACACGCGCCCGGATGCTAATCCCAGGGTTGCCAACTGACTGTTTCCCATCCAGCCACGCGACAACAAGTACAAATACGGTAGTACTGTAAATATACTCTTCACTACAGTACTGTATGTAATGTAAGAGAAATGATTGCATTAACCCCGAAATCCTCAGCCATCTTCACCGCGACATCAAATATGACTGACTGATGGATTTAAAATGATGAACGGGAGACATGATGCAAAGGACGAGTTCCGGTTCCACGGGAAAACAGAAGAAAAGATGAATGAATGAAAAAAAAAGAAACACCCCCCGTCCGTCCTCCGCCATGTGTGCGACATCCTTCCAAGCCGAGAAGAAGCAATTCAATTCCAAAACCGCGCTGTTCCGTTAGCAAGAAGAAGCAGCAGCAGCATGTCATCCATCCAACAACAGTTGGCGCCTTCTCCTCCACGGCCGCCGCCGGGTTACTCCACAGTCGCTACCTTTTTCATCGCCCTAGTCCACCACCACCCCTCAGCGTGGAAACCCATGCAACATTCAAATGCTCCCTCCTCCTCCTCCGCCGCCGCCACTTCGACCCTCGCTCCCCTCACCCTCTCCCACGAGTTGACACATCTAATAAATCACTCTCTCTCTCTTCCCCCCCCCCCCACGGGAAAAAACCTAAGCAAAATCCCCACAGAGAGAGAGAGAGAGGGGGGGAAGGAGGACAGAGCCATCAGCTGACGGAGTGGGTGAATCATGCGAAGTACAGTACAGTACAGTATCGTGTCATCGATACGACCGTAGAAATGGTAGAATCGGGATTGGAAATAGAAAAGGGGTGGAGATGATGATGAATAAAAAAGATATTGAGACATTCAAGAAGAAAGTGTGTGTGTGTGTCTCTTCTTTCCCTCCCGCTTCCTGGAAGCTATCCATCAACTTCCCCAACATCAGATTTGGAAAGGACAAACCAACCAACGTTGCCAACCCAGCGTCTCTTCCAAGCCAATTCCACAAGTTTTTCTTTCCTTTAAAAACCTAAAAATAATCGATCCACACGAAATACCAATCGCTGCCAATGATCCCCACTTTCCACGATGAAAAGACCATTCAACGAGTCTTTCTTGAATAAATGGAAAAATATATACAGTATCGCTTAGCCGTGACTAATTCTCCTTTCCGGAAAGCTACCTTTACATACAGTCAAATCCCGGAAGCAGGAAACTGAGGGGGGACATGTCTACGCAGCCAGAAACTTGGGTCGCTCAAAGGACCTCATCACCCGACTCGGGAATGTTTCATCGATTCTTCATCATTCCCGATTGTCAAAGAAAAATAAAACAAGACCGGGTCTGATTCACAGCTTCCATCAAATTGAGCCCTGCATGAATTGTTCCACCCCACAGTCCTCCGAACCCGCCTCAATTAGCACGATTATTCCTATTGAACAACTGCTACCACCTCAGTACTGTACATTATTTCTGCACAATTTACATTGTGCAAATATTGTATGCACAAGTAATGTACATCCGTGATGAAAGGAGCCAGCTACGGTTATGGACATCCATCAATCACTGAGTCATTCAGTTAGGCTACGGATAGTCACGACTGAGTCATCAGATGATCGATCTACAGTATTCAAGACCACACTAGACTTCATTCAGTCCAGTCACACATCGGCTCGTTCATAACTTCCTACTTGGGGTACGAGATTCAGTGTCAATCGAAAAACAGGTCGGAGCCCTCTGACTTCACAAGTCAAAACAGTTTTTACGCAACTGCACAAGTAGAACCTCCGTTCAGCTGTCCGGATTTCACTTTCTTCCCCCCCATCAACGATTGGAAACTCTACAAGGTAAGACGAAAATCCAACGAAGACATCAATTACAGGTCGCGATCGTCACAAATACATAAACTAAGGATTCTATTAAAAAAAAAACAAAAGATTAATAAATCCTCAGAACTTTCTCGCAAGCACTCGACGAAATAAATCCCTAAGACACGAGAAACTTTTACCCTGGACACAAGAGAATCCCCCTCGAATTACGAAAGTACTTCTGTGGGGACAGGGAAGAGATGACGATATAAAAAAACCATTTTATTCAACGACTGAGCGTCAAATCCCGACACGCCAGGAAGAAAAAAAAGGAGCTCCGTATCGTATATCAAGAAGATTTGCATAAAAACTTTCCCGAGGGGTGGTTCGACTTGGGCAAGACACACAACTGACCGACATTTACGAATTTTAATACCGTCCGGAACGACCTCGCATAAATTCAGCGCAAAAGCTTCTCGCCAGAATCTCCTCTGACAAGGACAACATCGTCAACAACAAAAAAGATAAGAGAACCAGAACAATTATTGGCATCCCGAAGGAGTGTGCGACTTCAACACAGAAATTACCCGTGGAATGCCAAGACGAATACAAATATCCTCGAGGATGAATTGGGTGCTCACCAAAAGTGAGTGATGTTAGGCTGAGTCATGAGTCACGTCAGAGGTTGCGAAAGAAAAGCTGCGCGATTCCTTTGTTCAGTGGTAACTGAAGGAATTTACGGGAAAAAATGGATGTTTCTCACAAGCATGAGGTAAGATACTCCCTCACTTCGAAAGAGTCGAGTACACTAAATCCACAAGAATAGTGAATTTCAATTTGTCGAACGAAAGCATGTTCTTTCAATGATAATGCAAATGCGACAAGCATAATACAGGTGGCATGCCTGATCAATGATCTTGCCCCACGATTTTCTCCGTAAAACAAATTTGTTCGGTCCCATAGAGTTCTATGTTATGGGTGTTCTTCACAATGAATTTTCTTGTACTGTACAGTATGTAGGGCCCCTTTCCGAAAAAGAGACGCTGTCCCATGTACTGTAATTCAAACCGTTTTCGAAGCTCGAATTTGCGTAGGGCCAAGATTAAAACACAAGCGACCGTTTATGATATGTTATTTCAGGAGAATATCTTTGAATAATGGGAAGGAATCGGGTTTAATGGGGGTTCCCTTCAACACAAAACTAAATCAACAACTGTGACGCCGTAAAAAAAAAAGGATTCTGCTTAAAAAATGATATCCGCCGAAAAGGTGGGTTCAGTAAAAGGCGACTGACTCTTCGATACCACCTGTTGGGAATCAACGAAACCCCGAGTAATCCATTAGTTTTGTCTGAGGTTGGTCGATTACCTCAGTCATGGAAGTTCTTTCTACACTAGGTTACGTTACCATTGTTCCAGCTACATCGCATCAAATCTAATCAATTCGACTAAGTTCAGAAACGATTTGACTAAGTTCACGTTACCATTGTTCAGCTGGATCAATGGTAACGTAACCAAGTGTAAGAAAGAACTTTCATGATCCCCAACACGTAGGGGAACATACAAACTTGAGTGCTATGACAGCAGCATTTAAAAATTAAAAAAAAAATTCATCTTTCGTTTCCGACGATTTAACCAGGGAACAACGCTGTATGGTTTCGATTACAACTGCATTTATACATCTTCAACCACGATGGAGCAATTGAAATCCTTTTTTCCCCCCCAAACCCTGTGCAGAAAATAAAGCCGAAGAGCAAGACGACAGTCCCGGAAAAACGGCTACGTCGGAGTGCTTCCGTATAAATCCGGACAACGTGCCGGAAACCTGACAACTCCACACGCCTTCCAGATGATCGAAATCAAAACGCTGTCACGCGCGGATAAAAAAAATACATTCCATCTCCGTGCTTCGCAGCATTGATCAGTACTTCATTCCCCATGAACGAAAGCTTATTTGCCCGGCTCAAATTTCTTGACAAATAAAATACAGCTCCTGTATCGAAGTCGAGAACTGCCAGCTTCCGTCTCAAGGCTACGTAAGAGGAAAGCATCCCATGGACGAAAGTTCAGATTACTTCTGTATTCGCATCTTCGTCTCGTTGAACTCTTCACAAGAAAAATCTCTGCGAATGCGGTTAGTTCAGAAAAGGCTTCCTTTCCGCATTTCATTGAAAAATCCGTCACATTTGAAACCCCGTAGAGAACCAACCCACAATACTTGATCAGAGACAAGGATCAAGGAACGCATAATAAACATTCGCTTCGATGCTTCCGTTTCAATCAACTCGACGCTATGCGATCGCTATGCAACCAACTACAATATACTGTAGTGCAGTTTCAAAAAGATAACCATCAAATCGTCGAGTGAATATTCCCGCGTGCATTTCTCCTTTCAACATCCCACATTCCGCTTTCGCAGGAAACCTTTCGTGAAGTTAATTGAACGCCAAGTCTCAGTCAACCTAGAGATGCTTTTTTCCCCTCGACGAAACAAGTTCGCAGGCAGGAAGGGAATTTTCTCCGAAAATAACACGGGTGACGGAGGGGAAGAAAAGAAAAAACAGGGTCGCGACGACAGACTCGACCAGATAAGTTTCAGTGAACTAGGTTAGACTTCCTTCTGTTTCAACTCAAGCTAGGAAAAAATCTCCTTCCGAACAGGAAAAACCGGTATCTGCACCCGCAACTCGCCGGAAACCAGATAGAAACGCCTCACAAAAAGAGCTCCATGAACACTGAGTAGCCTGATAATACCTTCCGTAGCACGACACTATTCCGAGATAAGAAGAAAGCACTGAGGAAAACTCACGGCAAATTCACCAGAACGGGCCCAAACGTTTCCGTCGAGTCCGCAAATCGCAGCTTCTTTCACACATGAAGATCCGATGAGTTGCTTGTCAATGTAATCTTGCCAACTCATGATTGCTAAGGGGTATGCCTCACACGCGAACAATCACAGAAAATTAAGCGATGGATTCCGGAGGGATTAAGCACCCACACCGAATAACGAAAAAATCTGCCGCGAAACGCGTAGAAAATGGTTTTTCAAATGATTTGCTGTCTTCGATTCAGACACCTACAATCCAACAGACTCAGATGTAATCGGAACAACGTAATTTCCAAGGTTAACACTTCTCGGATTATATTGCTACCAACTCAAAAAATCGTTCGATCGCGATCAAAAATCGTCGTTCGCACAAGTAAACGGCGACGATGGATGAAGGTTTCCCATCAGTCCTCATCGAGATACAAATTAATATGACCTCGGCCATCACCACGCGAGTTACTCGATTCGTTACAGCTCCCGAAGGTTTCGTTCATGATTACTAAAACTTTTATCGAGATCACCTGCGAATCTTCACTGAATACAGAAACCGGCAAGTTCTCTCTAAAAAAAAGGCTACGTTTCCGGAATTCTAACTGGATATCACAAAGGAATATGGCGTCGGGACGGGAGTTTCGCAATCCGTTCGGCTGACACGATTCGCCTGGTACTCAACACAACCACTGAGAAACGCCGCTCGCCACCGAATGCTCTCTTCGCTTCCCGGGTGCGCCCGCTCGCTCCGAAGCTCCATTCGCAAATGTCCGTCCATGCGTCACTGTCGACTTCGACTTTTTTATAGAGACACGTTCACATATTCCTACACTCTCTTGGTGAAATTTCAGCTAAACAAGTAACTTTTTGTAACGCGATCGCGTTACTTCGAAGAAATTTAATCTTTCTCCCAATCTGAAGCAAACGAACAATGTAAAATGAATCAGAATTTTTTGTTTATCTGTACAGCAATGTCATATGATAATAAATTCATGATGGCTGCGCACATTCAGGTACCGCGCTCCAAATTTGAACATTGTGAATCTGATGGTGTAGATTGCAAGCACACATCTGCTCCTTCTCTGAACTGATGTCCTTCAACGCATCGCAAATGTGTACATGACGGCTTGAAATACAGCATGTGACTTAAAACTTACGATTCATCGTGAGAAATGAGACGTGAAATCCAAGTTCCCGAAACAAACAGTTCTCAATGTATTTCTCTCGCTTCGAAACAATCACGGAAAATGAATTCTCCACCGAACAATGGGATCAAGAGACGCGCGGAAAGTACGAAATTGAACCGGAACGCCGGAAAGTTCCGCAAATAAACGGACTGCTTGCGGCAAAAATCCTTCCGATTTCAGTTGATCGTAAGCTCCTTCCGCATTCTCAAGTCTACCAGATGATGCCGAAGCACCGAAGTCTGCGAAAATCCCGGATCCGATCAATTTCGTTACCGCTTCCAACTCTATGATCTTGTCGTAGATACTCTCTTTCCAGGCTTCGTGCGGAACTTGGTCCTGAAAAGTAAATGACGTGTTCAAGTTCCCATTCATCACCCAATTCTCGAATTCATGAGCTGAGTTGACGTCAGGTTAAAGTTCGAACTTTTTTCGTTCATCTATCAATTCCGCGAAAGCTCGATTCGTAAGCACGTTGAGGAAAATTCGCGAAGTTTTTACGTTTTTTCGGACTCCGAAGTTTCGAGTCATAATCCTTTGAACCACGAGGATAAACCGTACATCAGTATCATGACTTAAAGCGAGCCAGTATTCTTTCTCTCAAGGATTCTCTTGATTACTAATTTCAAGCAACCTTCACACTTCGCATGAAAGTCGCCTGGATTGAAATACTTGTCCTTGAAACATGGTCGTAAGTTGCAACACAAATCCCATTTACTGCGTCTGTCTGGGGAAATCTTATATACCGTAATTGACCAGGAAACTTTTAAATATCAATCATTTCAAGTAACAATCAACGAGAGAACGAAGGATAGACAAAAACTTACTAAGCGACCTTTTTCAAATCCCAACGCGTCATGAAATTAGGCTATTTCGACACGGCATTTAAAATGGCAATGGAACTCGCTTCGCGAAATGTGTCAATAAGGACATTAATCAACGTGATTGTCAGGAGGGAAGCATTCGGATCATTCAGCACGTGCAGGAACTCCCATAGGAAGATTTACTCTGATGAGGCAGACGTATCGCAATCTTGCTCGCACATAAAACTTAATCGACACGAAAAACGGATCCGGATGAACATTTTTCAACTTCATTCGAAAAATACGTCAGCCTCTTATCACAGAACAATCAAGCAATAATTCCACGCGACGCGATTTAACGGGCCGAGCGAAAAGGAATCCACTTTCTCGACTTGGCGCCCATAAAACCTAAATCGTTCCACGCGCGTCGACAACGCCTGTTTTCCAAGTGGGGAAGCAAATCCCTGCATGTATCAGCTCGCTCAAGTAACTTATTGCAATCCACGCTGGGAATCGTTCGATTGAAGATCACGATTGAAAACTTGAAATATTAACCAAACAATAAAGAATAACTCGTGACGATCGATTTCCACTACGCATTGAGGGACACTGGGACGAAAAAAAAAGAAATCAGGTCGACTGGCAAAACAGTTTCTCAAAAACAAGTGACCCGGCCCACCTGGTTCGGGTCAACAACGTGCTAGACGCATTTTTCGAGTTCCAGACGAACCAACATTGTATGAGGTTTGATTTTCATATTTTTGAAGCAACATTACAAAATAATTGAATATGGCGAACAGCAATACAGTATCATAAATTTAACGTCACGGCAATAAGTATTGTAATTAGAATCAAGTTTCTAGATGCTTCATCACATTTGAAAAATTTTCCGTTTTCCGCATTCAAACAATTACCATGCACATAACTTTTTCCCCAGTACTCGGTAAAAATGGGCTCGGAGATGAGTCGATGAAATCTATGTACATTTTTTGAAGCACACCATAAAAGAGCACTTTACCTGAGAATGTACGACACGTTACTGTACCATGAAATCTGAAGAAATTCTGCCTTAGATTGAAGTTTCACGAATAAGCAATACGTCGCAAAGAAAATGCCACGGACGTACTTCATAAATCATCATACCAGAAGCCGTTCGGATTGCTTCTTTTACTGGCAAATTCACGCAAAGTAATTATGCATACGTATACGTACTCGAAACACGAAAAGGGGTAAAACTCCGACTTTAGAAAGCTGTTCAGAATGGAAGCGACAGGCAATTTCCGGCAAGAATAAAAATAAACAGACGTAATATAAATGCATGTTATTTTTTTTCTTCTTCTTGTTACCATGTGCGCCAGTTTGTGCACAGCCCGGCTTTGCAATTCTTCGTACGGAGAGCAGAGCATTGCCAGCAAACATAAGCCCCATTCCCAGCAACCAGCGGCAAACAGCTCCAACTCCAACACCACCTGTCAAATAGAAGAACCCCGACATTGTACAAACACACACGTTGCCAAAAGAAACAACAACAAAAAAAGGAAAAAACCGGGAAGTGGGGAAACACGTGGGGGACTGACTCACTTCTACGGGAGGCCAGGTGTCGGCTGAGTCGAACGCCGACAGTGTTTCTTTAACCAACTGCGTCGAGCCCAAAGCTGATTCCTCGCTTTTTGGAAGCTCCAGGATTCTCTTCAGCACTTGTCGCCAAATCCTGTCATTATTCAGATTTTCGATAAATCGCTGACAATTATTTTTTGACGTATACAACATTGATTTTCCATTTTCCGCGTCGAAGTATTTTAAAAATTGAATAGTCGATCCTACGGAAAATTAAGTACCGTACAATACTTCAGGTGAAGTTTGAGCGGATTGAAACTCAATTCCTTCTTTTTCCCCGAATCTACACACACTTTTTTCCAACACTGGATGCCTTATCGTGATGGGGGGACTTTGAAAAGATTTTCATAATAAATAAAGCAATTCCAGTTTTTAGGGCTTAAAAAAAAGTAACGAGACGGCTTCAGCCTCTACTTGCCCATTTTGGCTCTTGAGCACATAAATAGCAAACAATTTCATTTGAACTTTCATAAGGAACGATAAGTGAGAAGCTCTCGTGGGGAAAAAAAGGCGGAACAAGCCCCTGAAGTGGTACACATTATATTCTCACAGTTTGAAATCCTACTCGTACAATCAAGACTTACACATGACTGATGTCGGAGGATTTTCCGAAAAGCAACGTTTTTTTGAGCACCAGGCGGAGAACTGACAAGATATCATCAAAGTTTTCGCATTTTTCAACGATGGTCGTCAGCTCTTCGGCTTCGCCATCGCTATTTGGCAGCAAAACCGCTCTCCACAAGTCAAATAACTTTTCTCTCGCTCCAAGTTCGAATTTGGTTTCGCGCTCCAACGCCTAAAATATAGTCAAGTGAATTTAAGATCGGTTAAAAACACATGGAGCCCAAGAATATCTTAGATCAGCTTTCAAACAATGATTATTCTGCAAGTTACGTAGATGACGATCTGAATTCACGACTGATCTGAAAGTTCAATTCGATTGCTTTTAAATTAGTTCGGTATGTGTTTCATATTTTTATCGATGAAATTTTCGTACTGTGGCTGCAACCGCTTTTTAAAAAAACCTCAAAATTCATGGCCAATTGAAATCCAAACGATCAAAAGTGCATGCGTCGAGTTTCGGATATGTTCGCCAAAAGAAAGAGAAGACTTCCCATGAAATCTTCGATTCAATTTTCGAGTTTTCTTGGATGATGACGACGGATTCGTGATGATTTTCGTCCATTTTTTTTTTTCAAAGGACTTTAGTACCTTTTCAACCCCACTTAAAACGGCGAGTTTCGCGTCCCTGGACGATTCAGGATCCGCAACAACAGTTTCCAAGCAGTCCAGCAACTCTTCCATACTGGGAAACACTTCATCAGCCTTCCAGGCTGAGCCAATGTTTGCCACACATGCGTCCAGGAGACTTTCATCCCCGCCTTCAGCTGCCAATTTGCGCAGCGCCATTCCAAAGGCTGCCAACTGGAACTCGGCCACGCCTCCAGCTGCTCTTTCCGGCTCCAATAGGCCAACAAACGCCTGCACAGTTTCTAAATCCGCACTTTTCTCCAAGATCAGCTGGCTGAAGAAATCCTGCATGGTTTCGTCCCTCCAGCACATGCCTTCGAACAATCTACAATGGAACACGTGCAGAAGATATACATTGTTAATGGACTACAGTACATACTTTCCATCAGGAGGGGGGGGGGGGGGGAAAGGCCGGTTATTCGAGTACCGTAAAGCTATATAAAACAGTTTAATTGCTTCTCGACCCAAAAAAAATGAAGAGTCGCATTAAAGAGGCAATTATCACCAGCAGCTGTTTCTTTTCTCTTCGTACTAGCAGTTGGCTAGATTTGCGCAAAAAATTCTACATTGTTGACAGGCGTTTGAGAAAAACGGAATCCTCGTTCAGTATTCAATGAATTTTATCATCGTTCAAATTTTAATTTTAGAGCTTTCAATTACAACACCTTGTTTGCGAAGAAAGCATTTATAGATTTACCTGCCAAAAAAAAGATTTTTAGACAGAAAAAAAAAACCCTCATCAATTAGGCTCTTTGTACAGTACTGAATTTTCAATGATATTTTGATAACGATTTTTCCTCGGACTAAAAAAACTTTCGATACTACGAAATTGTTCAGAAATTCGACAGCTTATAGAAATTCGTCATTCAATCCAATCTTGCGAATGAATCGCAGCATATAATAGAATGACAAGATATTTTAAAATACTGTACAACACTTCGGACTAACGGTATCAAATCTTCCTCCACTTCTAGTTCAGCCAAACCCGCGTCAAGTGAATCCAGAAACAAGCGATGCGCAGTCAACTCACGAACAACGTCGTCTTCTTTACTGCAAGAGAAAAAAAATCACAACTTCATAAATAAACGGAAAATAAAAATGGAATAAGAAAAAAATGTTACTCACGTAAAGAAATTTTTGGAGACCAGAAGGTTGACTGATTTCTTCATTATCTGTATTCTGGTAGACCTCGATAAAATGTTCAGGGCGGACTCTGAAAAGGCAATTTCTTCGAAAAGATGGCGTAGCACTTGAGCGTGAGCACCACTTTTCAACACCTGTTCGAAACGCTTCATGAAAAAATCCGTCATCGCTTTCCCATGGTTTTCTTGCGAGTTCGCAGATGCGATACGTTTACATTCCTAAAACGCAAACCATCGTTTTCGTTACGTTTCTTGCCCATGAGAATCGGAAATTTCTTTCAGATTCCTCACGTTCAAAAAAGATTTTGCCAGAAGTATTCCCTTGACGAGATCAGCAGGATTGTGATCATCCCCTTCATTAGCGAACTGCTGCAAATTTGACGCCACTTTCTGCAGGATTTTCTCAGTTCTCGGCTCAGTGGCGGCTCTCATCAACTCTTTCAGTTCTCTTGTATTCGTCGAATTCTGTATAGCTTTGAAATCCAAATCTGCAAAAAAAGGGACGAATGAAACGCGTTCTAAAATATTGTATCATAAATTTCAAGTTTCACAAACCACAGCGCAGCGTAGAAAGCTCTTTCAAGCATTTGGCATTAACAGCATGGAACTTCATTCGTGGATCATCTTCTGGGAAAATGGACGCCAACAAACGGTGATAAGCAGACAAAGAAACAAAATCCTTGCCATGAATTCCGGGATACACCGAGTTTTCCAACCTTCACACAAAAATGTTATGCGTAAAAAAAAAATTAGGGAAATGCATTTGAGGAACAATCGAGAAAATACTGTATACTGACTCTGTGAATGCCGATTCCGCATTTTCCCGCAATGAATCCATGAATTCCAATTGATTCAAACGCTCCTCAACTGAAATTTCTTTGAGATCAGAGTTGAGAAACAAGTGTTGAGTCAATACCGCAGCAAGTTTCACTTTCGGGATTCCATATTTATCAGCAAACTGCACAGCAACGTGCAAGACATCCTCATCAGAAGTCCTAGGAAATGAAAACATTTGTTCTTACATCGAATAAATCAATGCTTAACGCACCAAAGTTAATTTCATACATGGCTAGACCCAAGATTGTGTCAATTTTGTACTCGTGATCTCTCGCGAATCTCGCCGCGTCTATTTCACTGGAAACGCTCGCCAAAATGTCAGCTTGTTTCCTATCCTCCACTTCCTTTTGCAACAAGGCCACCTTCTCCAGGAATTTCTCCGCTTCGGGTGACTTGCAAATTTCAAACGCGTCTTCAATGGTCTGTAAGAAAAACGAGAGAAATTCAAAAACCGCATTAAAATGATTTCAAGAGAACAAACACCTTTTTTCGATGTTTGGAGATTTCAGCGTCGGTTTTTCTACGAAACGAGGACCGCTTCAAGAAAGTCTGACAACTTTCCGCTGCTAATCTGGCGTAGAAATACTGAGCAGCTTCCATCGCTTCTCCAGAAATATTTTCGATTGGAAACAATTCGTCCATTTCAGAATCATCGAATGTGTCGTCGAAAGGAAATTTGTAAGCCGTCAAGAGAACGAACAGTCCATACTCGAGTTCTCCTCTGTTTGCCAAACCGAGTCCGATTTTTCTTAGAGCTTCAAGACAAAGTTCATGAATTAGATATTCAGATTCGCATAAAAAAATACAGACGATGAATGTTTCAAACAATTTGTCAGTCTCTTGAAATCGAGTCTTTCGGGTTATCTTCGTCAGTATAATCCTCTTCAAATTCTCTTAGGATCTCCTCCAATTGAAACCCAAACTTGATATACTTCTGTATCACTATTAAACGACACTTCACGACATTTAACCTGATCAGAAGCAAGAAATAAAAAATTATTACGATTAAAACAGTTTCGTTATTAATGAAATATGGTTCATAAATGTAGAAAACTAATGCATCCATTTATCTTAAATAAATTACTGTATTCACATTTACTGTATTTAGATTACCTGCAATTACATTACATAAAAACACTTTCACCATTCTTGTCATTGCTATTTTTAAACCTATAGGTTGTAAAAAATTTGGTACACTGTACCGAACTGATAAGATTATGAAGATCAAATTAATATTCACACGTTCAACAATAAAAACTAAAGAGCGACACAACTTCTGAAACAACCCTATCACAAAACTTACCACCCTTCACGAATTCAACATCAGGAATGTCATTTCCAAGTCTCAAGTCCACAAAAGCTGTTCTCACAGCATCCACGGCAAAATCCCAACCTAAATCAGCGCCGCGTTTTGAACAGGGATAACGGACTTCGGCAAGCCTCTCTTCTTCGCAAAATTTTCGCGTTTCCAATGGATGTGAGTGAAGTTTCTTCGTGTCTTCTCCTGACCCTTCTAGAGGCGCTTTCCATTCGACATTATCCTGGGGTTTGAGGACATCGCTGAAGTCGACTTCCGTTTGCGAACTGATACATTGGCCAAAAACAAAACAAAAAAGTCTCGTAGATTTTAATTAAAACTCATTCAACGACAAGGAAAAATTAGAGCGAACCTTTTCTGGAGGTATTCGTGGATCTTGTCTGGGGGGCAGTGGGCCATGGCAAAGGAAAGTAGTTTGGCCCTCAAACCCGGCGCACGGGCTGCGTCAATTTTCATGTCGGACAAAGTCGAGCCGAATTTCCCACAAACTTCCCATCCACCAGCATGTCGCTCTTTTGCCAATATGTTGCATAAATCAGAGCACACAGAGAAATCCTTCACCTGCCAAAAAAAAAAAAACCTACAAAATCGGACATAGACCGACAAATGTTGGTTTGCTCAAAGGTGGATGAAAATTTCAAGAAGCATAAATTGGTCATTTCCCAGAATTTCTTTCAAGTTTTAAAAATTCGGGCAGAAATCAATTTATCGGGGATATATGTTTTATACAAGGCACACTTGATTATTTCATGAATTTCCAGGCAGTCTACGAACTACCGAAACACCTCTGATTACTGGTTAATTTTCTCAGTGACCATGTTCCAGATATCCGACATTAATTTTCTATTGGAAACCAAGTTTTCTGATTTAGCCAGAAAATGCGTCAGAATTGCTGGATGTGAGGGCTGCCCTGAAATTACAAGTAGTTCGCACAACATGGCCTAAGTCCGGGCAACGATTGAAGAAAATCCTTCGAGAGTGAACAAAGTTCTTTTTTTTTTTAAGTTCTGTTGGTTGATGTAACTCGGGGCACTTTGAGTTGGAAACTTTAATTTTCGACACAACTGAGAAAACTTTTGAACCCATTCAACACAAGAAAAAAATACGTCTTGTTTGGACTTTTCGGAAAAGGCGGTTTTACCATTTGTGAAAAGGAAATTATAAGAAGAGTAGCAGACGTAAACGTCCTCCGTGCTCGTTCTTTCGTTCTAGGTTGTGGAAAACTCCGAATCTTAAAGCAGAAACATCTGACCGTAAAACCTCCCTGATAACGTCCAACTTATCAGGTTTCAACCGAACTGCAAAAAAATGCTATACGTTTCAAAATTGCAAAAAATGATGTCCAGAAAATCAATCTCACTTTGCACAGGAAGAAGTTTGACCCCATACTGCGATAATACTGGCAATGATTCGATAAGCTTCATGTCTCGGGCCACTTCTGGAGAAGAGCCAGGCCCCACAAGAGCCAGGCATTCAGCAGCCAAAGCCACATTTGGCCCAGTTGCAGAAGCACACGCGTCCAGGTATTCCCTGCTGGCCTCCAAACACAATTTCACACTTTCCGCGTAAGTAAGCTTGCCATCATCAGAACCTGAAGTTGCAGGAACAGAAGTGAGTCTGTCCCCGGCGATTCTTATCAGATCATGGTTGCTGGACACCATGTTCCTAAAATAGGTCTACCAGCTGTGAAGGAACCCCCAGTCCTGTAGACCCTTTGGCTAGAAAGCTTACAAGACCTAAACGACGTCGTCCAACTTGGTCAGGTAAAACCTTTTGCCTCCAAAGGAGCAACAACAACAAATCAATAAATGTGCCTAATGCCGGATTAGATTTCTCAACGATTACGTCACAATGAGTCAAAAATGCAGTCCCGATCTACCTTTAGTGCTATTAAATTGAATAAAGTGGTCTTTCAATTCAAGGTCGTGTCAACAAGCTTTCCTCCTGAGCATTCGAAAATTTCTCCATAATTGGAACTCCCGGTTCGAAAAATAATCACTTTCTTTCAATTGCGGGATTTTCACGATGAGAAAAGCCCAATTGAAATTAATCGGAATGCTGCAGTCAAGACAATAGATGAGATAATCTGGGTTCAAGCTCTTTTCCTTTTTCGTGAATCCAACAAGCCCAGGTGAAATACCGCAAATTCTATTTTAATTCATTTTCAGAATCGCGCAACTTCGTTCAGCCGGCAACTCAAATCCCCGCTATTTGCTTCAAATTTTCAGCAACCCTTTTCGTGCCCACATATTACCAATTCAATTACCTGGAAATCGGCAGCCGGCAAATTTTAACCATCAAATCCCTCACGAGTTCCGCATCGTCCCTCAAACTGGCCACATGCCTCGGAACCAGTGGCACTCCAACACTCGTCGTCATATCAGCAGNAAATGCTATACGTTTCAAAATTGCAAAAAATGATGTCCAGAAAATCAATCTCACTTTGCACAGGAAGAAGTTTGACCCCATACTGCGATAATACTGGCAATGATTCGATAAGCTTCATGTCTCGGGCCACTTCTGGAGAAGAGCCAGGCCCCACAAGAGCCAGGCATTCAGCAGCCAAAGCCACATTTGGCCCAGTTGCAGAAGCACACGCGTCCAGGTATTCCCTGCTGGCCTCCAAACACAATTTCACACTTTCCGCGTAAGTAAGCTTGCCATCATCAGAACCTGAAGTTGCAGGAACAGAAGTGAGTCTGTCCCCGGCGATTCTTATCAGATCATGGTTGCTGGACACCAACAAGGATTTTATCCAGATGGTCGACACTTCCTTGGGGGTCAGGACATCTGGGAAACCGATCTTTCGAATGTTCTGGATTTGCTGCAGCAGGTTGAACCAGTCCATTTTGGAAAACGGAGGTTTCCTACAACAACAACAAATCAATAAATGAGCCTAATGCCGGATTAGATTTCTCAACGATCACGTCACAATGAGACGAAAATGCAGTCCTGATCTAGCTTTAGTGCTACTAAATTGAATAATAAAGTGGTCTTTCAATTCAAGGACGTGTCAACAAGCTTTCCTCCAGAGCATTCGAAAATTCCTCTATAATGGGAACTCCTGGTTCGAAAAATGATCACTTTCTTTCTATTGCGGGATTTTCACGATGAGAAAAGCCCAATTGAAATTAATCAGAATGCTGTAATCAAGACAATAGATGAGATAATCTGGGTTCAAGCTCTTTTTCTTTTTCGTGAATCGAACAAGCCCACGTGAAATACCGCAAATTATATTTGAATTCATTTTCAGAATCGCGCAACTTCGTTCAGCCGGCAACTCAAATCCCCGCTATTTGCATCAAATTTTCAGCAACCCTTTTCGTGCCCACATATAATTACCTGGAAATCGGCAGCCGGCAAATTTTAACCATCAAATCCCTCACGAGTTCCGCATCGTCCCTCAAACTGGCCACATGCCTCGGAACCAGTGGCACTCCAACACTCGTCGTCATATCAGCAGCTTTCAGGTCTTCATCCGCTCGACTCGCCTCCCGTCGCATCTTGGCACTCATGGGCGGGAATCCGGAACTCTGGGACCCAGTGGCTCCCACCAGGGAGTTCAACGTGTCCGCCATGTTGAAGACTTTGGGCAGGTCTTCCCAACGTTCGCAGGCATACACGCATTCAATGACGAGGGCGGCGAACTTGTCCGTGTCTGGGATGGTGAAGCCACGGTCCTTCTTGCACGCTTCGATCACCTAATATAAATCAATCAAAGTTGTTTACAGTAAGATGATGATCTTTGGTACGTCAACGGCATACAGAGAAGGTGAAACTGCAATTTAACCTTTTTCACGACGGACTACTCAAAACGACTCCATCTTCCTGAAAAATCAGAAGGGTTTGAAGATGCGACTAGGCCTGACTAAACATTCACAAACTAATCTAACTGACCCACAATAAAGTAACTGAAGACCAAACTGACCTGGCCAAACACCAAAACAGAGCTTTTTACAAACCAAACCTAATCCACGATTAAACCAACTGAACACAAAGCCTAACTTATCTAATACGGTACGTTATATCAAAAAGACCATGAAAATGAAATGTAGAACTGGCGAATAAGTGGCAATTTAATAGGTTTAGTTTCATCTTCAAGAGATTCAATTTATAAAAACATTTAGTGTTTCAAAGATTTTGCAAGAAGATCGAGAGGCACTACTTTGCATAACGAGTTCAACTAACTGGCCACGTAATTCGCATCAAATCATCACGAAATCAAGCAATTCAATACTTGACGCACTTTCCGAGCTTTCCCCACGTCGCTTTCACACAGCTTCAAAGCGAATTTCCGCAAAATCTCGAACCTGGATTCGAAATCCGTCCGGGTGGCTGAGTTGTGGTCAAAATAAAATCGCAGCCAAGTTGAAAAATTTATCAGGAAGTCTTCGTCTTTCGTCTGGATTGAATAATTGGAGAAATTTCCCTTTTACAATTCTCCGAACGAAAAAGAGTCGATCAAACCTCGGACATCATGAGTTCAATCTTCGCCAGATCATCCAGGTCAGAAAACTCTTGATAAGAAATTTCAACTCCTGGAGCCGCTTCGTAGACTATCATGTCCAAAACCATGAATTCCTCCAACATGATCTCCAATCCCTAAAAAAGTGAACCTCGAATAGAACATATACGAGAATTGCTTAATTAACGCGTGGGTGGATTTTAGAAGAATTTCTGGTTAACTATTTTAATTAAGCCGTTGTCGAATGATAAATATTTTCCCCAAGTTCATCTCACTTTAAAGGTTAGCCCAATTTTTTTTTTTACAAACGATCTTAAAATAAAAAAAAATTTCCGAAATAAAATAAAAACTTGCAATTGAGTTGACTCAGGGATAAAAAATAAATTGAAAATTGGAGATCAAACTAAATATTACCTACTTATAGTCACACTTTTTCTGTGGCCCGAAAATTGTTACCCACGTAGGTCTATATATAATACAATACTCACAAACGGCTACCCGTAAAAACAAGTGCTGTCAAAAAATTCGGAATTAACCATAATCCCAAAAGAAAACCTCGAAAAGATCCATGGGGTAATTCGGGTTGCTGTCACGTATAATTCTTACGAAAACCTTCGGGTCCAAAAAAAACTTCCTTCTTATTTTCTTAGGATTCTTCATCTGTTATTCAGATTTTTGAAAACCGTGAATCTATGCTGAAATTGAGCGTAGTATGAATTCTTCATCAGTGCTCACAGCAATGGCGTTTTCATTGCAGAGCTTGAGGAAGTTGAGGCCATTCTCTACAACTCTTGATCTCGAGTCGATTTCGACTGCTCTACCTCTAACCCAATCAGAAACAATTTCGGAGGTCAGGGTTCCTTTCAATTCATTCCCGCCCTCAGACTCGGCCTTGGAGACATTTGGTGGATACATTTCACACCAATCAGCAGCTCTTAGATTGTCTTCCGGCCACTCAAGCAACTCTGAGCCATCTGGAGTGCATTCCGGCAACAGATTTCTAATGTAAAAACGCAACAGTTTTTATTTTTGCATCAGTCACAAAAAATCGGAAAACAAAAAAAATTACCTGTAATGACAAGGGAAAACAGTCTCGGGAATGTTGGCCAAAATCTTGAGTCTCTCTGGTAAAGTATGAGACCCACAGAAGGTCCACATAACATCAATGGCATCGAAATTGCAACTGCGCGCAAACTCCAAAGTGGCTTCAATAAAGTCGGCTTTTCTAAACTTCCCGTAGAACGTGGCGTCAAAATGCCGCTCTTTCTTGGGCAAAAGCTCCAACATTTTCTGCACGATAATTTGTTTCAAAAACATTTTTTGCACATTCATTCTTGGAAGAAAACCGCCTCACTTCATAGAGTGAAAGTCTGTCCAGATACTGGAGCAGAATTCGCCTTTGCTCGATCACCTGCACCTGGGCTAGAGTCAAATTCTGCCAATCCACGCTTTTGCAAAGGTTTTTGTGCTTTTGGACCTCTCGCTTTTTTCGGTCTTCCAGAGTCTCGTGGTAGTATTCGTCGTCATCATCAGACAGGTTCTCAGGTGCATCCATCAGTTGATCATCTCCAACTTGACAATTACATAATTTTTTTCATAATTGGGAATTTAGAAAGGGGAGGTTTTTTTATTTTTTTTAGGGGAAACCCGCACCTTTTCCAGTCCAGATCAAAGTCTGAATATCCGTTTGTTTCAATCCGTAATTAAGCAGCTCGTAGACAGCTTCAAGTTCATTCGGTACTCTCTGCAGACATTCTTTCAACACCCAAGTGCGCTTCTTGATTTTCCGCTGCAAAATTGAAAGAAGGCAGACGTCATTGCAAGGTCATTATTTACACTATAAGTACAGTGAAAGTTAAATGATAGAAAATTCAAGAAATTTGTGGAAAAAAGACTCAAGCGAAATTTCATCACCCACCTTGTTTACGATTGACTTTTTGAGAATTCGAAACTCACCAGATAATCTTGGATTGAGGCGCTGGTTACAGGAGCAGACCTCCATTGTTTCTGGTAAACCGCATCCGTGTCCAGATTGTAAACCTTTGCCAAATTTAACGCATCCCCGTATTCCCCAGTGTTCATCTGAAAAAAAAAATCCGGAAGCTTCAGCAAAGGAACTAATTCTGCACGGGAAATGGAAAAATAAAAGAAAGAAATGGAACCTTTCTCTGATAGAGCTCCTCGGGAGAAGTAGACTGTATCCCAACAAGTCTAAAAGTTTTCACCAGAAACAAGGGCTTCCTTCTCGGCAGCATCAGGGCATCGTTGTCCAAGGCCCAATAAATGGCAAATTGGAAAATCCTTCTCAACTTGACGAGGAATCCGACAACTGCACCGACATTCGCCTCTTCGTCTTCTTCCAATTCAAAGTCGTCATCAATGTCCGTCGACGCCCCGCTCGACGTCCTCGTTCTTGACCGTCTCGACAACCACTTCGTTTCGCATTCCATGGACAGGAAACCGGGACACGTGGCATCACCTTCTGGACAGGAATTTGGATCCATTTCGGCAGAGAATCTCGGGGCTCCGCAAAAGGACTCTGGTCTCGCCCCAAGCATGTTTCTGAAGGTTTCGTCTACAGAATTTACGGCTACTGCTCCAGAATATCTTGCCACTATCAAAAACTGAGACAAAAAATTAGGCAAATATTGAGGTACAGTTTATTCCAAAGCAAGGTGAATACAAATCTCGAACGAGAGTTCGGCGGTTAATACATTTTTATCGATTTATAAATAAAGCACAGTTCTTCTGGGACACCAGATCCTCAGTCAAAGAAAACCGTTTTCAAGAGAAAGCTTCAGATTTATGTCAACGAATTTTTTTCAATCGAATGTCGGAATTTCAGCGTATTTATTTGAATAATCTCAAATTCTACGCCAGCCTTCACATTCATTATAATCAAAATAAATTCGCCAAAATCGGAACACTTTTTTTTTCATGCGGTTTTGAATTTGGGACAATATCACTGAGAATACCATTCAAGAATTTCAAGTACAGCATTTGAAGAATATCAAAACTTTACTTTACTTGGATTGCTCGGGAAAATAACTAAAATATGCGCATAAAAATGTTAATACCGGTACTGTAATAAAATCATTTAAAAATATACAAAAATTTATAAAAATAAGGGTGAAAGTGAACTCAACGTCTTCACATCATCCAACTGGTCAGTGAGTACTGTATATATTTTTCCGATTACCGTATGTATATATTTTAAAAACATTCAATTTTTGGAAGATTTTTTCAGTAACATTGTAAAAGTACGTTTACGTCTTTTCTCCACTTCAACTTGGTCGATCAACAAAGCTGGAGAGAAAAAATTTTCTCAATGATGTTTGTAAAAATGTAGTACATCCATCCAAGGCTGACACAATATTACGCGAATCATAAATAAATAAAAAATACATGTGTAGTACAGTATATATTTCTAGAAACCCCGATTCAAAACTCACCTTGTCATCCCACCAATGAATGTCGCAAGGAAAGAACCTAAACTCGGAATCCTCCTTCTTAAGATTGGAGTCATCACTCAACCCCAATCCTGCCCCGTCTTCAAAATCGAACCCAACTTGTTCCTTCAACTCCCACAGCCTTTCCACTTTGAGACCCGGCATGGTCCACACCGATATTTTCCCCGAGGCATGAATACCAGCCAGACGTCTGCCATTTGCGCAACACCGCAAGGAAACCACGGGGTCAACGGCTTGTTTGGCAAACACCAAGGACGACACTCTTTGCAGAAATGTTCTCGACGTCGGAGACAAAAGTTCCGGGGATCCCGAAGAAGTGATGACAGAGGAGATCACTCTGTAATACGGGAATTCACTGACAAGTCGCAGGGCTTGCAATTCACTGCAGTCGTCCGCAACTTCCTGAAAATGCATCATCTGAGTGAAATCCAATTTCACAAAATGTGAGCAACCATTTTCACGACCAAAAAAAATTTTTTTGGGAAAATATTCTGATGGATTTGTTTTTTCAAACCGAGGGAGTTTCTGCCATCGCTGGGTCACCAAAATCTCGCAAAATTTCATTACTGATTTCAATTTTACTGAGATTTAATTGCTAAGATAGTTGCAGCGTATATTAAGTACTAAAATTTCTTTTTTGGGAGATCAAAATGTAACGAACTCTTTTTTTTTTTTTACAGAAGCACTTGTGTCATTTGCTGCTTTTTCTGCAGCTGTTGGAAAATTATTAAAAATTGTTGACACTTTACTCCGACCTGCACAGCATTTATTCAAAGTAATAAATGAAAAATAATAAGTCAACTCACAGAAGCGGCCAGAGACCAGTTCACTTTGGCCCCAGCAACAATGAGCATCCCATGAAAGTGGCTGTACTCCACACAAGTGATTCCCCTGGGGAACATTCCACTGAGATCAGCCTCAGTCCCCTTTTCATATCCTTCAGTTGGTGATACAAAATAACCCTGGATTCTCCCGTAGTAATCAACAATCACCAACTCAGCTACCCTGGAAAGATGAAAACGAAGAGTTTGGTAATACAGTATGGAAGACACTATGGACGGAAGTAATTTTAACATCATAATTTACTGAACAAGATTATTCCATGATCATTTCTTCACTTTTACATTGCACGAATTGGACAGGGGTATTGAAAATGCAAACCAACAAACCTCCGTTTCATGTTTTATAAATGTCAAAGCAATAAATATAAAAGCGATCAATAGAAAAATTTAAAGAAATTTTAAAATCTTCTCAGTGACAATGCTTTGGATTGACAACAAGAATCAAAGAAGTGTTCTAATCTCCTTCATTGTTCGCAAATCAGATTCGCAATTGAAAAAAATCCTCGGCCATTAAATATAAGCTATATACGAGGCATTACCCAAAAAGAACTCGTGATTTCTTGAATTTTTTTTTTTTCAAACATGTTAAAGGCTTTCCTCAATAAAATACACCGGAAACAAATAAATACAAACCATTCACTTCCTCTGGTATGAATGGGAGAGAAGAAAATACCGGCAGCCATCAATGAACTCGCAGCATTTTCTGCTCCTTTTACCTGACAACAGAAAGTTTGGACAAAACGATAAAATGCTTGAATAAAGCGTTGTCGAATTTTAAAATACCCACAAGACTTATTTTGAACAAAGCGTTTCCCGAGGCATCACAAACCTCGACAATCCCTGTCGAGTAGGCAATTGCCAGCAAGGTTCCATCTTGACTCCAACACATTTTTCGCCATTGTGGGTAGAGATCAGCAGGGACTGGGTTAACAATTCGATCAAAAAAAACTTTGAAATTAAAAATAGTAAAGGCGGGTCACACACGGAGCTTCTGGAGAAAATTCAGCCAGCAACCGACAAAACGCCGTTTACATGCGACATCTATGCATTTAAGGCAGATCTCCTATCGATAAAACTTCTTCCGTAAAAGAAAAAATTTGTCACTCCAATTAGTCCGCCAAGAAATGTATGGTCAAGTTCTCAGCAACCAAAGTCGAAGAAGGTACCATCGAAACACACGTTACGTCATCACTCACTCTTCTTCCCAAAAACAAAAACAAAACAAAAATCCCCCCAGGGAGGAAAAAAAAAGAAACAAAGAAAAGGTTACATCAACAGATCAGGTCATGGTTAAAGCCGCTTCAGAGGCGTGACACAAAAACCCCCGCTTTCCAGTTTCCTACTTGATTCAACCGGAGAAACTCGCTAGAAAAAATATTTAAAACATGTTCAGATACGAACACATACACATAAAAAAAGACCAAAATTAAAACATTTTACATTCCAACGCGTCGTCAAATATCAAACTCTGTCTGATGTGCTAAAGCAATTTATTTTGCAAAGTCTCGAGATTTTGTCCAAATCAATCGGCAACTATAGACGATGCCTTAATTGAAACCGAAGTCTGTCCTAACAAAAAAATTACTACAGTAAAAAAAAAAACCGTATAGAAATGCATGGTTTCCAAACAGTTATGGCTAACATTTTGTGGAACATGGGTAATAAATAAACATTGTCAAGTACATCATAGTACTTGTGAAACATATTTCGAGTATACTGAAGACTTGTCATTACTTTACCCTGTCTGATGAAATCCCCAGGAATATTTTCAATCAATTCGTTAAAATGAAATTATTAAAACATTTTTTTCCTATGTACAAGCATCACCTGGGACCAACAACAAAATTCGTTACAACGAGATTCGTTGTAGCGGAATTGAACTGTATTCACAATAAATCATTACGCTAAAGCCCGGCTTTTTACTCCCCACAAAGAAGGACATGTTTCTTTATTCTCGGGGTGAATGTGATGAGAACCCAATCAAATTCAGTTGGGCAACATCATCCTCCTCCTCCTCCCCCTCGGAACAAATCCCTTCAGCGCATTTCTGGTCATGAAACGCCCTCCAAGCATCACAGGAAACTGCGGGTGGAGGAGACTCGGTTTAGAGAAGAACTTGCGCAATAAACACGTCAACTTCGTTTCAAGTTTTTCCTTTTTTTCCCCCACTAGAATTCCACCACGCGCGAACCTCAGCTCATTCCTCGAAGCAGCAGAGTCGAGAAGCGTCGTCAAAAACATGCCGAATTTGGCAAAGATATTCCCGCTGTGTCTGATGGTGATGGACCTCGTGGTCACGCAGAATCATCACATCAAGTGTGAGTCGTTGTTGATGCCTAGCAGAATCAATGTGAAGCATCAGTACTGTACAGTGAAACCTTGATTTTCATTTGCGCGTGTGTGGTGTTTGTGATTATTTTTCTATAGTTAATCAAACCATCCAGGATCTCTTCATCTTCGCGCCACCAACAGACCCTCCAACTACAATCGAAAGGTGGAAAATCAACTCGAATTCACTACTTTTCCTGACGTGACTGTTGTAACTGTCAAATCGTGTCCTTTTCAAACGTTTATACTGTAGTCATCTTGCTGAGCCACTCACGGTAACTCCGCCGCCACCTCCTGCTTCCATGCCACAAATTTTGTTCAGGTCAGCTTATTCATAAACGGGGGAGGAGGGGGAGGCCTACTTAATCCAAAAATTGATGATTTCGCATTGATTGAAACGCAGATTATCCCCTGAAGTCAACGTTCAGCAGCAGAGGCAGCTATCACCATCAGGAACACAGACCAGGTAAAACTACAGTATATGCGCGAGTGAAGATACAGTACTGTACAGCATATAATTTCGTCAGTCTCTCTGCTATAGTTTAAATATTACACGTAAAACACGAGGAAATGAATCAAAAATGCAATGGGGGAATTCGTACGCATTGAGAAGATTTGAATCGAGTTGTTGGAACAGCAGCAGCAAGAAAACTCAATACGTCGCTTTATTGTGACAGCCAGCGACATCTAAATACAAAGCAAGCAAACATCCCGGGCGAAGTGGGAAAATGCCTCACTACTGTACATATTCAACGTTTTTCATTGACGATCAACTTTCAGGGTATCCATTAGTATGCTGTTGACATCTAAATCATACTCTTCTTTCCTAACATTGACAATACAGTAACGAACAGGTAAAAAATGTACAGTGATGCATCCTAAAAGTAAGTTAAAACTTAAATTCGCCATTCACTTCCGAGTTCTAATTTAAATTTCAAGTGGAAAATGCGCAGAACTGAATCCCTAATCCCAGGTGGATACTGTATATGAAATTACAGTACATAGTTTTGATTATTTCTCACCATTCGATATAAAATGCTGGACGTCGAATCACAATTTCGCATTGCCATACTGACTGCTAGTGACATCTACCAACTCTGAAAAAATGTCCCTTCAACATGGACAAAGTACTCAAGTTTATACAAAAATGTTTCATACGTCCCTTCAAAAAAAAAAAAAAAAAAAAAAAGAACCACACATAAGTTAAAAAAAAAATGTTTCAAACGACCCAAAAAAAAAAAAAAAAAAAAAAAAGGTTCAAGGTGGAGCCGGTGACAGCCCATGAACTTCAGGCCTTGCTGAACCAGATCAACGGCGTTCATCCACCACAACCCGTGCCCACGGATCCCCTTCTGGGCACCCACGGAGCCCAAGGAGCTCTTCCTCCTCCTCCTCCTCCTCCAGCGGGTGCTCTAAGCATCACAGGACACGTCAACCTCATCGCAACCCCCATAACCCATCCCGGCCAACAGCACATCCCAATAAATAACCCACCAACGGGTTTCTTCAGGCCCCCAATATCACGATACCCCATTGATCCCCGGGGACTAACGCAGCATGACGTGGACACGGAATTAATCTTCGCGCCCAGGCCTGAAAAGAGGTACTCTGTGGACCCGCGGAATGCGTATCCAGCTGATGGAAGAGGGATTTTGTACAGGCCTCAAGGTACCAAGCCTCATGCTGGTCACAAGTGGGTGTGGCACTGAAGCCAGTTCAGTTGCTTGCGAGGCATTCTTACTTTAGAAAAAAAAACATTTTGTCTTACCACTTTGAAAAAGAGGCTTTACACAATTTTATTCACGCGACACTAAACCCAAAATATGGCGCAGTTGATGAGGACATATATTTTAGAAATGTGTGTCAAATGAAATACAGTACCGCAGTGTGAAAGACAAAAGAAAACTTTACTTTACTTCTCAGGTCATTATCCCAAGAGTATTCCATTCATAACAAAGTATTCTGCATCAGACTGTAGAAAGAATACTTTTCGTGGCAAAATTCAAAACAAAACAAAACAAAAAACAAAAATACTTCAATGCGATGACAATTCAGTTTTCTTCACATTCCGGAGCGCCAGAAAATTCTAATCGTCCGGAAAATGACAGGGGTTAACTTCCCTCATTCTGACACAAATTTCATAATTTTTTTGCTCCAACTTCCTTAAAAAAAAAGTTGGGCTTTCGTTTTTTGCTGGTTTAGATACGCGTGAACCATGGAATCAACGACAGGGAGCATTCGGCAAATAAAGTGAACCTCTTGAAAATGAATGGGTGTGCAACTTGAATTATTCAAAGGCCATTCGAAGACTTGCATCAGGATACCCCGAGGTTTTTTTCTCTTTACGTGCGCTGAATAATCCTAGAAGTTTGCGAGATCAGAAAATGCCAGTGGGCTTGAGAAAATTTCAAAAAAGTTTAATAGAAAACCAGGATTTATTCGCCTAGAATACTTTCACTCCGAGGGTAATTTTGCGCTATCTCAATTTACCAAATAATGTACATTGAGTTTTACGATAAGAGCGCTCGATATACAACGCGTCCCATGATCAGAAAAAAAGTCGAAAAACGAGGCAGTTATTCAAGTTAACATTGTATGAAATCCGAAATTTTAACTCATTCAATTCCTCGACTGAAATCAAGAAACAAAATCGAACAGATTGGGACAGAAAAAGAGGGAGAAACAGCGCAAAATATATAAAACTATCTACTCACAGCCAACTTCGGATCCTGAGGCCACTCGTGAAGTTGCAAGACGTCGTATAAAATATTCCTCCTCCGCACATCATCACTTTCCATCATCACAGATTTAAAAAAAGGAAAAACCACACAATTTCACGTCAAATAAACACAACACAATTCCTCCTCTTGTCTACAAAAAAAAGAATAAATAAATAAATTATGCATAAAAAGATGAATCAATGAATAACATCTTGAATTGGCTTAAAATGTAGCCAAATATTCAGGTATATTTCCACGTTTCCTCGCGAATCAAGGCAATTTGACTCCGTTGCTGATTTTCCCGGGTGTGAACCCGATGACCCTACACATTACTGGCTTTCACTCAACCCTTTCTAATCCGAACCCAGACATTTCTTAAAGCAAAGCTTCTGACGGCAAAAAAAATAAAATACCAAAAAAACTTTTTGAACAATCAACCGATAAACACAACCTTTCAAAACAGATTTCTTAGCTGCAGGTCCAAGTATTTTTCGCCACCGGATTTCCGTTTGATTTTTTTTTCAACAAAAAAAAAGAAACCAAAGCTGAGAATTGTTAAGAAAACAACGCTCATCAATTATCAATCCAAAGACTTGTCTTCGAATCACAGTTGGACGAATAATACCCCGCGATCCAGGAAATCACAAAATTACCGCGAAACGTTCTTCCTGAGATGCCCCAAATAATCGATCAACGAGCTCGGGATCACACGCGTCAAAATACCGTTGGGTATGAAGGCACTGAAATCCATGTTTGCGTTGAATACCCAAGTCATAGTGCACTCCTTGCCCCCGGGCAAAGGTGAGAACCGCATTCCACTGGCACCATTCATTCCCCTGCAAAACAAGAAGGGCGAGGGATCCGTCATTCCTGTGCTTTGTGACTGTTGACAGTGAAATCTCTTCAGAACAAATGCTGTACTGTTACAACAAAACTTCTTTTTTTTTAAAGTCCCCGCAGATACCCGTCGGGGGTAAAAGTTAAAACAAACTTCTCAAGTCCAGTGAAACAACATTTTTTCGAAGAATAACTCTCCGGGTAGAAATTTCCTGACCTAAGACAGGCACATTCTGGAATTTCTAATCCCAAATTAGACCGACTGGTTCTTGTAGCATGATGAATTGAAGATTTACTGAATGACAAACATGCTTCCAAGTGGTTCCACACATGATCTTCCCAAAATGAAGAGATTGGTGCAACTGATGGATTGTGGCATGATAGAATCTCATTTCTTTCTTCATAAAATCAGTTTTTCAAAGATCGATGAAAAACCTGAGAGCGCCAGAAAAGAAAGATCTAATTCACTATAAGCAAAGGTACGTCCGATGTAAAAATATTTTCCAGTCATCAATTTCGAAAATTTCATTGAATCAAAGTATTCAGTGCAACGAAATTTTTCCGAAATCCCCAAAATTTTGTGGTACTGTACAGTAATGAGATTTTTCTGCAGTGATTTACGGCCAAGTAGCATTCGAATAAACTATGTCAATCGTCCCTTCGCCAGAACTGCGCCAGAAATTCAAGTTCACAAAATCCCTCGATCCTATCAATCCGGCAACCTGAGCTTTGGTTGACTGCCACGTGATTCTCGTTTGGTCATCCAAATCCTGGGTCCAACCATAACAATTAAAATTATGCACAATTGGAAAAAAAAACTACAGTATTCTACAAGAAAATCCACCTTGACTACTTCAACTGCCAACGCAGTCGGATTCCACTTGGGAATATCCAGTCCATCCTTCCAGAAAACATCCAGCATTTGCTTCGGTTTCGCTGGCATCACCGCCTGTGAGAAGAAAGGAACGCTCATAAAGTCGACTCGTTCTTCTCATCAACTTCTAATGTCCGATAATTAAGAAGATGATAATCATTCTACACCATTATAATCTAGCCAGTGACGACTAGGTTAATGACTTCTATTCTGCATATTCGATCAAGATAACCACGCCTTGATCAGCATCGAACTATTCCTTCCGCAAGTGGGCAGTTCAAGGTTTGTCTGAAACGCGCGCCAAAGTGCATCAAGTTTGGTTTAAGAAAGAGTATAAGATTTGTTACTACAGCCTAACATCGTGAAATTTGTAAGACACTTGCAATGCTGTCGCCAACGCAACGAAGACTCGCGATAACTTGAAAAGAAATTAAGATGCTACAGCAAATACCAGTGACATCTACCCACACTTGAAAGTTGTGTCATCGCAATGGACAAATGGGGAACACAAAACCAAGAAACTTTCAACAACACATTGACTTCTTGCACACTCAATATTTGGTCTTTACTGCTGTATGAACAAAATAAAGCAGCTTAACACTGTACTCAGCAGCCATTCTTGATGATGTAGCTTCATTCAGATCCTGAAAAGATGAGTACAGCACTCTACTTGGAATAAGTTAGTTCAGCATTCAGCAGGCATCATTTGGAACAAAAGCGCTACAAGAGGTTCAAGAGACTATCTCAGATTCTAAGGATTTCCATGAGTGAAAATAGGGTAGCCCCCCAAAAAAAAAAAAAAGATTCTTGCAGGATGGACAAATTATTTCACCATTAGTTACGTCTCCAGAGACGTGCCTAAATTAAATACGGACTTGGAAAAAATCACTCATGCGGTGAGTCCCCACACCACGGAAGACCTGCGCAACAACAAAAATTTGCATGACCACGAATTTTTGGGCCAAAAATGCTTTCATTTTAACATTTTTTGAGCTAATCGAGCTAAAACTTCAGAACTGAGAAATGTTTCAAAGGAAGGGTATAGCTGAGCCTGTCCTTGACTGAAACATTTTTTAAAAGTTCAGAATGTTCACAGCACAATCTCCTCAGGATTACTGATCTTCCATTCTACTCACTGTAAAATTAATAATTGTACTTTGAAAATTACACAGCTTTCAAGGTTTATATGGCCTTTCGGGGCGTGAATGGAACAAATTAAATGATTCATGATGTAACCTGAAGGGAAATCGCTATGGTTTCGTAGGAAAGAAAGGTAGTGAAATAGCATGTCAATTTAAAAAAAATTCAAAGAATTCACCTTAGCAAAATACAGAGAACGTCGATATTCCTGCGAAAACCGGGACCGCACCACGACCCCGTGTGACCTGGACACAACAGGCCACGTTTCACCTTCCGCCAACAGACGATCTACTTCCCCGAAAAGCCTTTCCCTGCCGTACAATTGCGGTAAAACTTGATCCTTCACCAAGAATTGAAATATTATAATAAGGTTGCCAAAAAAAAAACCACCCACACGCGCCAAGTTATTACCGGTAGATCTGGATTGAGGTTCCAAAATTCAGGCTCGCTCAAAACGAACACGCATGAGAGAAACTTCAAGGTGTTCGT